AGCAATTTAAAGTTTGTAGAAAATGTGAAAGCGGAAACACCTTATACAAGGAAGGCCAGAAATACTCTAAGATTTCAGCAAGCTCTGCCCTTGTAACACATTCTCACCATTTGGAGATGCTCCCTTGCATACCCTATTAAGTCACAGTCTCTGTTCAGGCATTTGTGATAATGTGCAGTTCCAGGGACTAAACTGAAACAGAAAAACATAGGTGCACCATGCTGGTAGGTAAGAAGGGAACACAAAACAGACATGGACATGTTCAGCAAGGCTAGAAGTTTACCTTTGGTGAGCTGAAAACATTAACCCTTCAAAAGATAGCTCTTCTTTGATACTTGGATTACTGGCTACATTTAACAAGCTGAAACTTTTGCTGGTACTTGCTGAAACAGACTGCCTAGAGAGGTTGTGGATGCCCTGTCCCTGGAGGTGTTCAAGGCCAGATTGGATGGGGCCCTGGGCAGCTGGTCTAGTATTAAATGGGGAGGTTGGTAGCCCCGCATGTGGAAGGAGGGTTGGAGATCCATGGTCCTTGAGGTCCCTTCCAACCCTGGCCATTCTGTGATTCTGAAACTTTTGTGCCAGAGACACTTTCCTCATCACCCCCCACAAAGGAAGCCAGGGAGCAGCAAGTCCATGGCAGTACTCCAAACTCTTCCTGCACTTCACTCCAAATCCTGAGGGCAGCTGAATGACTCCATAAGAGACCTCCAGCCCTAGAAGTCCTGGTGCAATGCATGTGACGTATCTGTCTTTATGGAAATATTTTCAGCCTACTGCATAAGAGGGTTAAACATGATTCTACACAACCGAGCATGGTTACAGATGCTATTAACAGCACTCACAGCATCACAAAAATGCTCGATGTGGACGATCACCCAAGAAGCCTCCTAAGAGGGTTGAATATAATCACATTCCAATCGTAAGCTGAGAGCAATCGATGAAAATTTACAATTCTGTCTTGCTGTCAGTATGGTTAAACATGCAATTATTCAGATATTCACTTCAGTGTCTCGATGATCCTTTTAAGCCTCTGTTCTATGGCAGCAGCATACATTTGCCAGAGGCATTCTGAGCAGGACATTTGATGGAATATTCCATACATGAGAGATTCAACTACCCAGGCACATCTGGCATGGAAAGATTTGCATTAAGATTCTTTTATACTATGCACTTCACTCATTAGCAAGAAAATAAGCCATCTGTGATTATTAAAATCTTGTAGATTGGAAGTCTAGCACCTCCTCAAGACCTTAATCAGTTAAGCACATGTTGGAGCACACCCAGCCTCCTGCACGGGGGCAAATCAGCTACATAGATAAGAGGCTATAGCAATTCTCAGAGTCAGTGCAAGCAGGAAATGGAGGCAGGCTCTCTGATCCATCACCTACATGAAAATTATACACTCTACATGGGAAGTAAGCTTCTAAAAATAAATTGAGTACCGTGCACACACAGTATTCCTGCTTGTGTAAAATTAGGTATGGCGTGCTGGTTCTTTGGCTTCAGTCCAGAAAAAGGGAAACAGAAGGGCATCCAATTTAAACAAAAAAGTGAATGTGGTATCTCAAATACCTATGGAGCAAAATGACAGCTTTTTTCTACAAAGAAATACATATATTACATACATGTCTGAATGTTAATATTGCTGCCGCAGCTATGAGCCATTTGGTTTAGGTCATGTTTCCTGCTTACTTCTTTAAAAAAAATAATAATAATCTATTCTTTTTTCCAATGAAGTAAAAAGAACACCAGTGCCACAGTAGGAACTGTATCCCTCCTACCAGCCTCATGACAGCTTTGAGTCATCTGACTGCTAAGCCAGCAAGGACAATAAAATCTGCCGCTGGGTGCAGTGATGAGGCAAGCACTAGAAGCACAGCAAGAGAGCAAGCAGAAATGGGGAAAGCAGAAAAGTACCCATGGAGAGCAAGAGGGGAGACAGGAGGGGACTGCACAGCCAGCTGAAAAATCCAGCAGTAGCCAAACAGCACAGAAAAGTAGGCAGAAGTGCTTCCTGAGTTTCAGTAAATTGCTTTCAGTCAGAGTAAGCCACATAATCAGCTCCTTGAATTCAGAACCCTTCAACTGGTTGTGTGTCTGAATGTGATGTCTGTCCTAGCACTGCAGGAAAAAAAAAGATGTACTGAATGCTGTCTTTCTTGGGGTCAGTCATACTACTTTTGTATATAAAGGAAAGAACATTCCAGAGGTAGGCATAATCACTGCTTAACAGTTGTCTATTTTCCTTTATTCTTTTTTTTTTTTTTTAAGGATACCATTAAGTGGTGGGATAAGAGATTTTACAAGGCAATCCCGCTCTTTCAAAAGATGCGGTGAAACATACCAAAGGTCAACAATAATACAGAAACAACACCAAATCTCCAAACTGTTGAACTGACGCTAAAGAAAATGTTTGTTGTTTTTTTCCCCCAAATATCTCATACCATACTTTTCAATAGTAATTTTTTTCTTATTTTTTGCATTTGATCTCCCTAGTCCTTTAGTAGGAGCTGTGCTTAACTTCCTAGATTCTTAAATATTATGAAAAAATATTATGAAAACAGAGCGAGCATTTTACCAAATAGATGGTTCATTTCATATAAATGAAAAAGACAAGTTCATTCACAAACTTGAAACAGGAAGTACGTTTCTGCCCATGCTTACTAATACATGAAACAGCCAAACAACCACAGAACAGCTTGGGTTGGAAGGGACCATAAAGGTCATCTAGTTCCAACCCCCTGCTGTGGGCATGGCCCACCCTCAGGCTGCCCAGAGCCCCATCCAACCTGGCCTTGAACACCTCCAGCCCTAAATTTTAGTTCCAACCACAGAAACTGACGTCGTCAAAACAGGTAAAAGCAAAGAAGGAGCTGAGGAATATCACTTTGGCTTGGCTTACAGACTTCCTCATACCAAACACCGTGCTTGGAGAAGGCACTAAGCAGCTGACCAACCCAGGCTCTTGATTTCACACCTTAAAAAACACTCTCCTCCAACTCAAACAATTTTACAATTCTGTGGTTGGCAGCCAAGTCACGACAGATGTACAATAAACCTGAAACTCTGCTCTTCAGTTAAGATGGTGTCTCGTACAACCACATTTACAGAAAATGTAATAAATACAGGCAACTAAAAAAAAAAGGTCATGACAGCTTGCAGCTCCTAGTGAGTTGTGGTGCCGACCATCATTCTGGGACAAAAATCCCGAATTCCTGCCGTTGTTTATCAAGGAAGCTGCTTCAATTATGACTGTATGCAATCTAAAAATCCACTTGGTCTGAACAAGCTCCGAGGGGAACACAGCCTGCTGGCATACCTAAAATCGGGCTGCTTTTGTTAGACGAGTTCTGTCAGCGTTACAAAACGTGCGTTAACTTGGAAGTGGCAAAATCAGCCCTGAAAAATCGCAGATCAATACAAAGTTGGCTGCTACGAGAGACAGACTTCCCACTCTTCTGCTTATATCGCCAACACGACAAACGCAGACAAATGACAGTGCGTCAGGTGGGTTCTGGCGGCATTCCGGACACCCACCTCAGCACACTCTGCTAACAGTTGAAGCTGAGCGGGGTGCAGGGGCAGCTCCGGCTCGGCACATCCCAACTGACACCGCCAAGCGCCTGGCCGCGTTCCCCAGCGCTTCCCACCGATCTCAACCCGCGTGACCACTCCCCGCCCCGCAAACCGCCCCGCCCGGACCGCGGACCCACCGTCCCGATGCAGTCGGTGAGGCTGGGCGGGGGCGCCTTGGGCTTCGCCTTGCCGAAGAAGCGGTTCATGGCGGCGGTAGGCCTGCGGCTCGGCGACGGCGACAACAACGATCGCGCCGGCCCGGAAGCACAGCGCCCGCTTCGCGCCTGCGCGCTGCGAAAGGCGGAAGCTCTTGCACAGCGGAGCTCCGCCACTTCCGGTCACGCGGGGAGGGCGGCGAGCCGCCATTGGCTGTGCGAAGGGCGGGCGGTGCTTAGCAGAGCCCATTTAAAGGGGCACGGCGCCAGTTTCGCCCTGCCAGGTCTCTCTGGCAGGGCTGGTGCTGTTGGCTGGATTGAAGCTGTAAGTGATGTCCCACCTGTACTTGTTCTGAATTCTTATTCAGGGCTTGGCATGAAGGACTGGATATTGTTTTTCAATACAAAACATCCAGAAGGATGCAAGATAGATTTAAGACTGTAATGAAAAATAAATGTTTTTTTTTATAAGAAGTGGATGCACATATAATTTACCATGTGCTGTATTAGTGGTTTCATCAAAATCAATTAATTATTTGGTCAATTAACCAAATAAAATATTTGGAAAGCAATTTTAAAAGATGTTTCTCTGAAGATGAAAAGGAAGGAATTGTGAGCTTCTTGGGAGAACTGGAATACTTATGAGATAATCTGTATGTTAGTTCTAAGGCTTACTTTTCAACACACCAGGAGTCCAGTTAACAGCTGTACCCAGTACTAGGCAGTCTCCAATAGTTTTAAGTATTCAAATTCAAAGATACATCTACAGCCATGCATCTGTACAGTATACTAAGATGTTCCCTCCCTCACCACATACTGTGTAACTGTAAATATATCATGTTGGCCTTGCATCAGCTTTTCCCTTTTTTCCCCTCTCTGGAAGCACTGAAGGCCAGACTGGATGGAGCTGTGAGCAACCTGGTCTAAGGGAGGTGTCCCTGACTATAGCAGGGAGGTTAGAACTAGGTGACCTTAAAGGTCCCTTCCAACCCAAACCATTCAGTGATTCTAATTTCTTCAAATTGCTGTGCCCTCCTAGAAAAACACCTTTTAAGTTACAACATTATTGAAATTTTAGTTATTTTCTAAATTAAAAAAAAAAAGCAGTAGAATCTTCCTCATAAGATCAGTTGATCTTAACACATCAGATGCCACTTATGCTAAAAAATAACACCATGAAAACACTACGAGTGAAACAAAAGTATATTATACTTGTTTTGTTTTATTCTATTTTAAATTAAGAACACTTTTTTTGTGTGTGTGTTGTTTGTTTGTTTTGCAAGTATTTCGTTTTAAGACATTACTGAGGACCTAACATATCTTTAGGCTTCACCCACTGGTCAAACTGGTCTGATGTGAGGAATCCCAACTTTATAGCAGCTTCTTTTAACGTCGTCCCTTCTTTGTGTGCAGTCTTGGCAATCTTAGCTGCTTTATCATATCCTGTAGCAAACAAAAAGAAACCATTTAGCCATGCTCAGTTTCAGAAGATTTCTTTAGAGATGAGAAAAAAGTAAGACACTCAGTTTTCTGAGAATTAATTTGCTCGGTATTGCTATTAGTACTTAACTCAATTTGCAGTAAATATGCACTGAATGTATTATACAAACTCCTTACTTAAAGTAGTCTTGATGTAGGTCTTAGACTACATAAAAGTTTTATGTAACTTTCTCCTATTTTCATGTTTCACTTTCTGTTATTATTAGAAGCCAAATCGGGACGACATGTACACAAATTCTCTCAATCTCTTTTCTGTTCTGAATTATTTCTTTAACACACTGTTATGGTACTGCAAAAGCAAGGTGTATCTTTATCACCACCACCAATTGGTGATGTTAAAGGAAACTAACTTTTGGCCTGGCCCAGAACTTGGTTTACTAATACTGTGACAATACAAATAATGTGTGCAAAATAACGTTTCTGAAAAGTATATAAGTGCAATGTTTTGAGAAGTTTCTGAGCTTTACACTTACCTATATGTGGATTAAGTGCTGTTACCAACATCAGGGATTCACTCATTAGTTTGTTGATCCTATCTGTATTGGCTTGGATTCCAACAACACAGTTGTCAGTGAAAGAAACACAAACATCTCCAAGAAGCCTTGCAGAGTTTAAAACATTCTTAATCTAAAAAACAAAACAAAAACAACAACAACAACAACAAAAATATTGTATTCATATATTAGTAGCTGCACAATCAGGCACAGCTGTTCCTAAGTGGCATCCCTCTATCCCCCAAAATGTACCTCTTTGATTTGCACTAAAGAGGTACATAAAATAATGCACCCTATTCCTGCTGCAGGCTATGCTCTGTTATTCCCACTTCAAATAATTTTCTGAGAATCATTTAAGAGATGAACTCTTGCTTAAAGACCACAGTACGTAAAGATGTCTTGATACAACAGTTTACAAATACTGAGTAAAAAATGAATGAAGGTATTTCATTCAAGGTCATTCCTCCACCACCAGGTACCAATACTAAAACAACATTTAACACTATCCATAACATCCCACTTTTTTTTTTCCCCTTCTCCTTTTTTTTATTTGTCTATGAGAATTTATGTTCTGCTAGTTACATCTCTTAGCTGTTCAATATGATTTTTGGAGGGTGTGGGGTCGTAGTAGCTTCAAAACCAGGTGCTGTATGCTTAGAAATTTGTTCAGATGGGAGAAAAAATATTTTAATAATTTCTGACATAACTGAAAAAGCAACATCAGCAAGTGTATGCAGTGTAGAAAAATAACATGCGGCATCCTGCTTCCCTTGTGCCTCTTATCTCTAACAAAAAGACAGAAGCTCTACAGCTTCCCTTTTATTTCTATATAATATTAGTATCTTTTCCACAAGTCACCTTCATTGTTTTTAAAATTATCATCCCTACCCTAACCTCTGCAATATTACTTTATCTTACACACCGTTCTCCACAATCTTCTTTTTTTTTTTTTTTTTTCTCTCAATTCTCCTTTTTGTTTGTTTGTTTCTTGGGTTTAATTGAAAAAAAAAAAGAAAAAAGAAAAGTAGATAACCCGAGAAAGAAAAGAAAAATGACTTCATTTGAAAACATCCAGATTTCAGTACCAGGTGATAGGCAACATTCATTTAATTTGATATTTTTTAATTAAATTCAATTCAGAGAAAAAGCATTATGTGCACACATCTTTAAGATAAAAGCTTATCAGCATAAGATATCCTCATGTAACAAGACTGCTACCATCCTGTCAGAATAACAATTACCATACAAAAGAATAACTTTTTTTCTCACATTTTATCAGATTTTCCAGTCCCTGTATTGAACAAATATTCACTGAGCTTTTCTCTATTTATCTGACTGTACAAATGATGACTTCAGAAGTCCTAAATATTTTACAGCTTTTAGAACTTACCATCATGGGCTTAAAAACATTCAGCTCAAAGTGCCCATTGCTACCTCCTACAGTAACAGCAACGTGGTTTCCCATAACCTGGGCTGCCACCATGGTAACCGCTTCACACTGCGTAGGATTCACTTTTCCTGGTTGTGAAAGGGAGAGAAAAACATTAATGAAGACTAAGGAAATCAATCAATCAATCATTTGTTCTCTTATTTACCAAATCACATTCAAGAAAAGATACTTTGTAGGAGGTAACATTTTCCTCCTTTTTATCTGTTCACCACAAAAAAAAAATTATTTCCATAAATTATATTAACTGTACTACTCTAGTCTTATTTATTCCCCATTCTCTGCAAAATGTAAAAGCTTCAGTTATATTGTCTTCTCTTGAAAGAAAAATCTGCAGAATGCAAAGATTTAAAGAAGTCCACCCTCAGTTGGCTGCTTTAGCAATTTGCTGAGTTTTCGAGAGTAGGATCAAACAGGCATGAACTAAGCAGCTGTTAATTACTACAGTCCTTAATAATCAAGAGATTGTTATCTGTTTTTACTCGAGCAGATTGGTGTGTCTGGTAAATCATTGCCAAATCTCAGTTAACTTAGGAAAAGTATTACTAGGCTGTTAAAATTATTTTGTAACAAAATCAATACACTGCCTTTATTTGGCCAAGGAGAAGATAAGTATGTACAGGTATTACTCTCCTTCATGTGCCTGCACGTGAACACACAATTGTGCAAGCAAGTACTTTTATGAACACAAATTTTGGTAAAATATAACAGAAGAAAAACTGACAGAAGTGTTCAACCACGGACTTACTGACATTAAAGTTAGTAGTCCAAAACAAAAGAAATAGGAATTTTTCCTCTGCATGTTTTCTCCATACCTGGCATGATACTGCTTCCTGGTTCATTTTCAGGCAAGATGAGTTCTCCTAATCCAGAGCGTGGTCCAGACCCCAGGAAACGAATATCATTAGCTATTTTCATCAGACTACATGCCACTGTGTTCATAGCTCCGCTGAGTTCAACTAGAGCATCGTGAGCTGCAAGAGCTTCAAATTTATTGGGAGCAGTGACAAAGGGCAAGCCTACAGGGACAGTGAGGAATATGAAACCTATTAGGCACTTACATGAAGACATAAACCAGATAACCAACCACACAGTTAGCTTAACATAAAATTATGTTAATAACACCAAGTTCACCTCTCTTTCTACCTTTCTTCAAAAATGTGTTTCTTAAACTCATTTATTCAATACAAGAGGCACAATAAAAGTCACTAAAATAGACAAGAATGTGAAATTTAAGCATCAACTCAAATTTGAGAAGCAAAGATACAGATTTCAAGTTTCCATGCTGTATTGCAACTAAGCAATGCAGCAATTTGCTTTGCACCTCAATACTTAAAACATTTCAGTAATCTCTTGCAAGTTAGCCCAAATGTATCCATCTTAATTCCATTTCAAGGATGCTTTCTCTCAGTTATAGAAATAGGTTTTTTTGCAGCACAGCCATTAGGGCAAATAAGAAGTAATCACAATTGAATAAGCTACTTAAAGAAAAAGGATGCATCAAGCATTAGCACCAGAAGGGAACAACAGCCAGGTGGAACGTGCAAAAGCTCATTAAGGCTTAGGATGCCTGAAACTTCTGGCAACAGCAAAAGCACAGGAGCAATGGAAGCAACAGCTCTTCTTATGTTAATTTAATCTACAGTCTGAGTGTAGGTTCTGTAATTAAAAAAAATTCTTCAGGATCCTGCCCTGCAAGTAAATTCTCAGCAAAATTTTATTAGTGGTGGTGGACATCAAATATGGATGATGACTGTGAGCTGAATTTGTGCCCCACAAAATTACTGGTCTGAACTTATTTTACTAGTACAAACAATAAGAGTAGCAAAATCTCAGTTCCTAGAGGAAGTGCAAATTCCTACCATGTTTTGCAGACCCTGCCAGACACTGGCTCCCATTCTATTTGTAAGCACTTCTGCATTTCACAGATGCCAAGATCATTCCAAACTTTCCATTCTGTCTTTGCCAATAAATTTCCCACTAGAGAACATAAGTAGAGCAGGCTATTTAAATTCCTTGTTTTAAACTTGTACAACCCTCACATGTGGTAAACCTAACGAGCGTAAGATGGACAACCTGCCCACAGCAGGGGGTTTGGAACTAGATGATCTTTGAGGTCATTTCCAACCCAAGCCATTCTGTGATTCTACATGATTCTATGGGACAGCTTCCTACAACACTGATAGCTTCTCCAAGCACCAAAACAAGCCTTTTACTGCTTCTCAGCAGCTGTTGTTTATATCACTTCTTCCCTGCCAAGGTACAAGAAAATCTCAAGTCTTTTACTAGATTGTGAATAATAGATCTGTTAATACAAAAATATTGCTGATAAGCAGTTACAGTATATTTAAGTGAAATACATATGCAGTCATTCTGGGGGCATTTTTAAAACTGGCACAGAAAAACTGGACTACAAATCAGAAAACTCAACAGCTTTCTGAATTAAGTTTTAAGATCTATAAAGACAGGATCAGAAACCAGACAGCTAACCTCCACTCCTTCACATGAAATAAATTCATGGTTCTGGGGAAGTTTGTTGTTTTTTGTTTCCCCCCCCTTTTCTTTTGTGGCAAGTAAGTTAAGATCAAGAGTCAGAGAAGCAGAGATCAAAACAGAAGTATGGCTGGGCTACTAATGGAAGTCTGAAACACTTCATCTCCAGTAAGCCAAATTCATTGCAGCCACTCTCACTCCACTGAGTACCATTAGAAAAAATACTCTGAATAAAAAAATTTTAAGTATAAGGCTTACAAAATATATACTGCTTTATTGATAATTCTGAAATATCATTCCTCACCCGTCAGTTCAGCCACTTTTGCAGCAACTTTCTCAGCAAAGCCAATTCTTGTGTTTAATCCTGTACCAACTGCAGTCCCACCAGCTGCCAGCTGATACACTCTTGGCATGGTTGACTCAATCCTAGCCACGCCGTATTTAATCTGTTGCACATAGCCACTAAATTCCTTTGAAAGAATGAAGCACAGAAGAAAAACACAGCAATAAGAAAATAGTAGTACTTGGATTTTTAACAGTACTCATTAACTGAAGGCACTGAACTTCACCAAGAAGTGTTTTCATTAAGAGGGAAAATTTACATATATTAGAAGACTGCTCACACAGCAGGGGCAACCTACACATAAAAGCAACCTACATATATAAAAATATATATTACAATACACTGTAAAATCTTTCTCTTGCCTTGTATCTCATTCATGTACTCTGTAAAATGTGAATCCAAGGTAGGTCAGACCTCAGACTGCACTAACAAAGACTCAAGGTGCAATTAGACAAATGGATCCTGGACTTCGTTCACTTGATTTTAGTTAATCAGAAGCCCACCTGTGCCAACTTTTACAGAGATTTTTTTATCAGTTCAGTTAAAATTAATACCTTACCAAGTAATGTAACCTATGCCATTCATGACAATACAATAACAAGGATTTCTCATACACATATAATCATGAATTATTCAAAATACTTTGTAGTCCGGTGTGTTGTCTAAACCTCTTTTATATAAACTTACAGATTATAGGCACAATTTACCATGTTCCTCCTCCTATCAGTGTAATAGAAATAAGTTTTGTTACTTGGCAATCAAACTCTGAAATAATTTATATCTTAGTATTATAAGCAACATATATGGAAAATTTTAAGAACACTTCCAATGCAGTTATTAGAGAACAGCATTCAGCAAAACTCCAAAAAAAGATGAAAATATTTGGAGATTCAGCCAGTTGCCTAATTTATCTTAAACTAATTTTAGTCTCCTCAAATTTGCCCCAGTTTCCTCCAATATATTTATAACTTTTCTTCAAACAAACATGCATTTTCACTGTTTACCTGTCCAAGCGTAAGTGGAACAGCATCTTGTGTGTGAGTGCGTCCTATTTTTATGATTTGGGAAAACTCTTTGGATTTTGCTTCGAGTGCATTCTGTAGCTTCTTCAGTCCAGGCAACAACACCTCATTAACTTCCTGGGCAGCAGCGATATGCATTGCTGTTGGGAAAGTGTCATTTGAACTCTGTGAAGGAAGTTTCAGAAACTTATTTACAGGGTTTTCTCACCATAATACCTTACAATATTAAAACTGACATGTATGGCTTTATTCTCTTTATTTTATGAAGAAGGAATTGAGAACACAGTAAGCAACCTAGCAGTGTTCCAGAAGCCACTCTGAAGGAATCATCGAATCTTCTAAACTCCCATCAAGCATGTTATCAATAAAATCTATGCCTTATAACTATGCCCACAGAAACTAAATATACCACAGGCCAAGAGAGCTGCTACAAAATACAAAATATAGATAACAAACAGATTTGGGGATTTAAAGAAATTATAGCTGACTTGAAAAGGCCAAAATATTGATTTTGCAATGGTAATTCGATAGTCACCATAGGATTTTGAGCAAGCACAAAAGATCAGAGCTACAATCAACTTGGTGGCTCAAACTTCAGCTAATCTGAAGAAAATTTTAAGAGTGAAATATAATAAACATGTCTACTTAAGAGTGCGTAAACAAATACTAACTGGCTCTTTTGCTTCCCAATTACAGGGCCTTAGCCACCTTATTATTCCTTCTACATGCTTGATGTAGTGTATTTGGGAGATAACAGCTACATGGATACAAACTCTATAAACTGGACTTAAATTTAACTTTTTTATGGCTGCCTGCAGTAGTGTTTGTCACCAGGCCACTTCTGCCCAATATATCACGTATGAATTCACCTGTCATAAATGAGCTGAGAGTTTTTAATCTAAAAAGCTCCTACCAACACTGACCAAATTTTCAAAGTTCCTTTAATCTGAAAAGCTTGGAACTTGGAAAATTGTTGCTAAAACCATAAATACAACTATTTTTGCTATATATATATTTTTTTTCTATTTTCCATGTTTTATTTAAATACATACAAAAATAATCTAAACAGTGGCTGTAAGACAATTCCGAATTAAAAAAAAATTAAAAGAAGTACAATACAAGTATAATGACCTGGCTTTTATTAACATGATCATTTGGATGTACTGGAATTTTGCTGCCCAGTTTGCCTCCCAGTATTTCAATAGCTCTATTGCTGATGACTTCATTGACATTCATATTGGTTTGAGTTCCAGACCCAGTCTGCCACACCACCAGTGGAAAGTGATCATTTAATTTTCCTGCAGCTACCTGTAATGGAAAAACAGAGAAGATCTGTTCTACCAGAAAAAAAAAGAAAGAAGCAGCTATACTTGAATATATTGCAAGATTCATATGTATTGACTTGCAGATTACCCATGAAAAGAAGATCCTGATCAGCTATAGATGTCTGTACCAACTTATACCTTTTGTAGGTAGGTTGTGACACTTGCTATCTCAAGTCAAGACAAAGCAAAAAATATGAATATTCTCTTCAATTTACATTTTTTGGACCCTGATGAACCTCATCCACATATAGAGATTTTTCTGGAGATGTAATAATTTCAAAATCTGTGCTCACAAGTATCTCTCCCATGCATATCAACCTCAGAAAAGCATAGAATGCAAAACAAGAGATCTGTTGTCACAACACTGAGGTTAGATCTCCATCTCCAAATTTTCAACTTACTACACAGTCCTCCTGGAATCATGCTTTTCAAGAAAAGGCCTTATTAGATATTTCCTATTTTATATAGGGGCAGAGCTCCCACTTTGAAAAGCAACTCTGCTCTTTGTTGTCTCTCTCTTTTTTTTTTTCAGGTCACCGAGGAGGCATTTTTAAAAATGCAATAAAAAAGCCTCAAACAGCTTTCAGAACTCACGAATCTAAGCCAAGGAGCCTTTAGCCACCAAAACCTCTAATCCACCTTTAACTAGAAAAGACTGGCTACATTCTCAAGTTCTCCAAAGCTCTTGGGGCTTGAGACTCATGGTACTACAGATGGTAGAGAACAGACATGGCTTCTGCACATACGGGGATATTTCAAAGCTTTTGAGGAACAAAAAAGCTCTGTAAAACAATTATTCCAGCTAAATACCTTTTGGTTTATGCAAAGCAGTACAAATAGTATTACCATACCTTAGTTATAGCTCATTCACAACTGTGCATTGGGGTGGTATTTATCCTGAGAAAGTGAAGATATTTCTGTCTCACATCATCCTCTTTAGCTATAAAAGTGATACTTCAAAAGGACAGATTTACTAGCAATCCTAAGTCTGAAGAGGAAACAGATGAGTAAGAGAGAAACTATTCAGACTGCAGATGGTCTTTAAAATACAGGGATACAATTGCTTAAAAGACTGGAGACTTTCAAAAAGTGGAAGCTTTGTCTGAATGGCAGATTTGCTCTAACAATTCAAGAAAGAAATGCAAGACATCTTCACCAAAGCCTCAAACAGTGTTCCCAAGAGAAGCTAACCAAATATACAGTGTCAATTCTAGTACTTTAGGCAGTTCGTTCTTACCTCATCTGCTGCCTTTACAATAGCACTGGCAATCTTTGGGTCGAGACCATAATCTTGATTTACTTCAGCTGCTGCTCTCTTCAAGATGCCAAAGGCCCTTATAACTTGAACCTGAGACACAAGAGTAAATTTAAACACGTAATCTTTTTTCATGAAGAACACTTAGGAACCCACAGCACAGGTCTATTTCTAAATCAAACTCCTTCTGATCTTAAACACAGCAACAACCAACCAAGCAACCAGAGAGCAATTTAGGGCACGTGATGTGTCATCTCATTCTAGGTAACATTTATCCAAGCAGTACAGAAAGCAATTCATAACTCACCCTTTCTTTCTATGTGTATCAAAACCAACTACATGTATTAAAATGAACAGAAAAGAAGAACTGGATTTGTTTCTAAAATAGAATTTTGAAGGCAGATTGGCTTATGTTTCAGTACATTCAAAAACAGAGAATGATGATATCCACATACACTCATGCTTTAATCACATCTACAAGTGAAAAAGCAGTTTATTAACATACTACACTTAAACACCTTCAATACACTTAGATACTCCCTACTCTTAAGTATCTTCAACAACAAACTACATTACATTACAGTAAAAGTAATTGAAATGATTCCATCCATAGCCTTTGCTCTTCAATAAAATGAAAGATTTCTATTCATCCTGTTGTTTTGGGTTTTTTTTTGAAAAATAAAACAACACAATAAAAAGCAACACTTCACCACGAAAATTCTAACTTCAATGAAAATTCAAAGGTGATCATATTCCCAGAAAAAGATTAAGAAAAGGTATTCACTCATATCCGAAAACATACTGAAAGAGTATAAATGGACACAGGCTTGAATTACTTACTGGCATCCTTTCTGAAACACCTCCGATCTTGAAGTTCATTGTAGATCTTACAGTCTGAGCACCATAGTATTTGTCGCTTGGGACCTTCAGTTCACCAAAGGTATCATATTCTATCCTAAAAGACTCTTGAGTGGACTGTGGGAAAGAAAAATAAAAAGTATGTTTCAAACACTGGTAAACAGCATCTTTTTCTTGAGAGGACAAACAACTGAGAAAAAATGCAAGAAGGGGAAAAAAGGGTGAAAAAGACACACAATTAGTCATAAGTATTTTTCTAATTATATTTACAAACTTTTGACATGTTTCTAGTCTGATTACCTGTCTTGCTACAAGAGTCACTACTACAAATATTACACAGCCTAGCAAACCCACTGGTGACAGGCAGCACTGAGAGACTTCAGACTTTGATTGCTCACTGCATAAAACACATCATCCTGGTGAAAGACTCACATTACTTTGAAGAATCAGAAACTCATTTTACAATTTACAGAATGGCTGCATTGTTAGAGCCAAACATAAGAACTAACATGGTTCACACAACATCCATCCAGGCAATATAACAGAAACCCTTTCAGAAATCCACACTGCACATGGCAATTAAAATACTCAAAAGGAGCAGCTGAGTAATTAATTGCTAAGCTGCTGATTGTGAATTCTCACCTTAAGCCCAAGAACATTATATACATCACTGTGTATGCACAGTTTTGGGTGTCACAGCACAAAAAGGACATAAAACTATTGGTAACCGTCCAAAGGAGGGCTTCAAAGATGGTGAAGGGTCTAGAAAGGAAGACATAGGAGATGCAGCTGAGGTCCCTAGCTCAGTGCAGAGCAGAGAAGCTGAAGGGAGGCCTGATGGTGGCTGCAGCTCCTCACAGGGAGCGGAGGGGCAGCGCTGAGCTCTGCTCTGTGTGACAGTGACAGGGCCCGAGGGAATGGCATGGAGCTGTGTCAAGGGAGGGCAGCTGGGGGTCAGGGAAAGGGTCTGCACCAGAGGGTGGTGGGCATGGAACGGGCTGCACAGGGCTGCGGTCATGGCCCCAGGCTGCTGGAGTTAAGGGAGCATCTGATCAATGCTCTCAGGCATAGGGTTTGAATTATGGGTGGTCCTGTGTGATGCCAGGAGCTGGACTCAATGATCCTTACCTGTCCCTTCCAACTCAGGATATTCTGTGATTCTGTAACCAGCATAGCTGTGCCACACGAAGAAACTGTATCTAAGCATATTTTGTATGATATTTATATAAAACAATACTTACGTACCATATATACACACAGCATGTATTATTATCTAACACAGAAGTAAATTAAGTTTAGGTGATGTACACCAACTGAAAAGTAAAGCCTTTCTTCTTTAAAAACAAACAAACAAAAAAACCGCAGTAACAACAAAAAATCCAACATATTCATTTATGACAACATGATCACATTTGTATGTCACTTCACAGATTATGGGACTGGAGAGGAAGCATGTAAAAGCCGTTTAGTCTTTCTCTCCCCACACTTCTGTCAGCAAAGCCTCAATCTGCTATAAGAAAGATGCTTATCCTTCCCCACAGAAAGAGGTTACCTTCTTATAGAGTCCTCGAGGAGGGGAAAAAGATTATTTGAATTCTTAATCATCGATGGAATAAAACAATCCCAGCTTCATAGTAATACACACACAGTGATGGGCTCTGGCCTAACAACGACCATCAACTGTAAATCAAATGTTAGGATCTATTAGAAAAATGTTATTATGGTTCATGTACGTTTTGAATGCTAGTTGCAGATTGGGTTTTCTCATCTCAAAAAACATATTATTTGAAACAGTTCAAAGAAAGGCAGGAAGGCTGATCAAAGTGGGGGTACAGCTTTTATAAGCCTGATTGTGTAGTTCAGAAAGAGCCAAGCTGGGGACCGAAGTAAAAACGAGAGCAGTAAAATTGCTAGAATGGCAGCAAGTACTAGCTGCTCACTGTCTCTTCCAGTACAAGAAATATGAGCAACAATACTAGGATAGCAGGAGGGAAGTTCTAGGTAAGCAGAAGGAAGCATTTCTTCACACACGGCGCAGACTGACAAAACTACTTGCCAACTGATGTTGTGGACGCAAGAAACTTGCAAGAATTCAAGAAAGACAAGATAAGCATTCAGAAAAAAACATCTGAACTGGGTTATCACACAGAGAAACCACAGACTTGGCAGAAGTCCTTGATTTGAAAATGAGAAGTCTGTGTAAGTGAAAGAAGAAAGCATTGTATATGTTTGCACAGTTCTTACTCTTCCCTAGGTGTCCACTGCTGAAGCTATACTGTTTCTCTCCTTGGTCAGCTTTACTTTCTCCTTGCTGTGTGGGTCTTGGACTTTTTGGAGAGGAGCGCAGCTGAGTTTGTGCAGAAAATTTCCTCCAGCAGCAGCAACTCTCCAGCAGTCTGTCCATGTCTACATCATCACAGGTAGCAAGCTGTGGGTGGGAGTATTCCAGTATTTTACTGTCCTGGACAGTGTTTCCAGTCAGATGGAGAGGCCCTGCCATTAGGTACACCAGTAACCACGTAGCAGAGCCACCAGTCCCACTTGCTCAGGGCTCTCCTGCAGTGCAGATGTTGCATGTAACCCAGAAGAAACTGCAGCCCAGCTCACAAACAGCAAGGGTTAGCTCTTGTATTGCTGTCTTGCTCCCCACAACTTGCTTTTAATCTTCCCACAGACCCTGACCCCACAGAAAGACTACACAGAGCACATATCAATATGCCTTTTAGACAATTCTTAACCCTCTCTATTCTATTTTAATCACTTAATGTTCATATACATGCTAAAGAAAAACACATCACAGATATCTACTGGTCTACTGGTATCTAAAATCCCTGCTTTTGGTAACTGGACTCTTCAGATAAGCAGACAACATAAGGTTTTCTATAGAGATGGATAAGCAGAATCAGTTCAATTCCACGCCCAGCTCTCAATAGGGTCAGCAGTTCAATCACCGAGAATATCCATGCTTAAACACTGTGAAGAAGTTAAATAGCCTGCAACCTCAGCTTACATAATTACAGTGTCAACAATGGTGAAACAAAGACAAATAGGAGCCAGGAGAGATCAGTACCCCCCAGTACAAATATCTTTTCTGTTACTGAAAAAATTACTTCCCTGGCAAATTCCACACTACACACCTTTACAGTCTTCAGTGAAATTAAAAGGGCAGTGAGCTGCCTGGAGCTCAGTGTCATTTGCTGATTAATAATGAAAGGTAATCAAGAAGAAACATTATTTTTTTTTTTCATCCATATGAATTAAACTAATTTCTCAACCATATTAACTAAACTAAATTCTATTAGCCATCTATATTGAGTACTCAACAACCAACAATGGTTAGCATTGTATTTCTGTGAAAAATATGCTTCCCCACTCCTTAGGTGGGCTTCACCTTCTTGACTGGCTTCATGAGCTGAGGGTCCCTGTTCCCCTACATCCAGAGTGATTCTTGAGAATGCATACTCTGTTTCTGCCAAATCCCAAGCACCCATAGTCCAAAGCTTACGGTTAGACAAACATAACTGTCCTTTTGCCTTGCTGCGGGGTACTGATCAGCTAGGATTGATTGCACCATCATGCACTGGAAGAATTCAAACAGAACTGCTGCTGCAATGCTTCCTGTGGAAAATTATATTCTCATTAGAGATGTAACAACTTTTGGATGTAAGTATTTTAGTTCAAAGAATAGTTTTTTTAGCATGTCAGAAACAGTCCTTAAAAACTGGCAGAAAATGGAATTTGTGCTTAACTACTCTCCTTTATATTATCAACTGAGTCCCAAATTCTGATATTTACTCTTTAGGAACAGCTTTAAGTTGAGACAGTGCAGTAGCCATACAATAGGGCCACAGGCACACTATGTTGTATGTAATGTAAATTCTTCCAAAATATAAATCTTGCTGCCAACAAAATCTCTGCAAACTTCAAAAACAAAAACCAACAAACTTGGTTTGTTATTTCCCTCCGCCCTCATTTAAATATTAGTTGGTACATTTTTGGTAGTGCTCTTGGAAATAAAAACATACAAAGTTTTCCCATAAAAATTCAATGGCAGTTTGAACTCTGAATCCTCGGAGGAACATTTTGCTCTAACTTCTCCTGTTATCTAAACTCAAGCAATTAATAATGCCTATGTGCAGCACAGGGCATATTCCTGACCTGCAAAGATCACAATACTGCACTTCTTGTCAGACTGCTGCCTTGTGTAGGTACTGGGCCTTCAGCAAGTGCATGAGGGCCACTATCTATAATGTACATGTCACAGAATCACATAATGGTTTGGGCTGGAAGGGACCTTTAAGATTATCTAATTCCAATCCCCTGCTATAGACAGGGACACCCTCCCCTAGACCAGGCTGCTCAAAGTCCCATCCAGCCTGGCCTCCAATGCTTCCAGGGAGGGGGCAACCACAACCTCACTGGGCAACCTGCTCCAGTGCCTCACCACACTCACAATAAAGAACTTCTTCCTAATATCTATTCTAAATCTACCCTCTGCCAATTTACAGCCATTTCCCCTCATCCAGTCATTACCTGCCTTTATCAAAAGTTCCTTCCCAACTAGTTTTCATGCTTTTGTTGCCCCCTTTTTATGTTGCAATTAAGAATATTAAAAAGTTTTGTTACTAATTATATCATACACCTTTTATGTAGCCCAATACAATTTCTCTTCACTCAGTGCAGCCCAGGCAAACAAAAAAGGTTGGACATCCGTAGTCCATAATGCTTTCCTTCAGCTTCAGAGACCGTTATGGAACAGCATTCCTGTTCCCACACTGAACCACGGGCAACAAACCTGCTCCCCTCGTATTTCAGCCCAACAGCCAACGGGCAAGTAGTAAGTAATTTAGGAGGTCTGGCAGAGGTCACAGACCGGTCTCGGGTACAGCCGAAGCACCTCCCTACTTCTCGAGCAGCCCGCAAGACTCTACGGATTTTTCTAGAAGCAGCTCCGCACGCCAGAGCTCTGCCACAGCTCGGGCAGCTCCGGGCCGCGCTCACATCAAATCCCGTCCCTACGGGCGCTACAGATAACGGCCGGTCAGCGCGGCGCGGGCACTGGGCCTCAGCAGGCCGCGCGCTGCAGGCAGGGAGCAGCGAGCGGAGCCCAGTACCGCTCCCGGCGCCGCTCTCCCACCGCCGCGGGCCGGCGCTTCCAGGCAGCGCGGCTGGCGGAGGGTCGCGGGAGCCGAAGGGGCGGAGCCGCGGAAAGGACGGCTGCCCCGGTAGAGGTCACGGCGCCCCCGGCCCGGCCCGGTGCTCACCATGGCGGCGCGCAGCGGGGCCCAGCGGGCGGCGTTGGCGGCGGCTGTGCCGGGGGAGGGCGGCGACGCCAGGAGCCCCGCGGAGCGGCCCAGGCGGCGGAAGGCGCGGAGTGAGCGGTGCATGGTGACGGCGGAGGGAGAGACCGCCGGGGGCGGAGGAGCGAGCGGACCGCCCCGGATGGGCGTCAGGATGGAGGGCAGCCATCGGCACGCAGGCTGCCGCCGGCCAATCGGCTGTTGCGGGAGCCGACGGGCTCCGGCAGGAAAACGGTGCTTCCTGCAGTTTAAAGGCAGCACCGGGCGGCTAGCCGCCTGCTACACAGCGGCCAAGTCCGGATGTAATTCCTTTCTTCTTCCTGCTCAAGCAAGTGCAGCAGTGCTCCACGCTTTGGTGGAGGCATTGGATCCTCTGAGATAAAAGACGACCAAGCCGCAAGCTTTAGAAGTTCTAGAGATCATAGAATCACAAAGGTTGAAAAAGACCTCCAAGATCATCTTCTTCAACAACCAACCCATGCCCTTCAACCATATCCCTCTCAGTTCCATCTCTGCCCATCCTTCCAGATGTTGAGACATCTGGACATCAGGGAGCTGGTCCAGTCTTTCTGAGAAAGCCAACTTAAAATAGTGAATACAACTATTAATTTCTACTTACCCAGCTGGAAGTGTATCTTGCTTCCTTCTGCAAAGCAGAAATATGACAATTTCTACAAGTTTATAACTTTTGGTTTATTTCTAGTGTTAATTACTTCAGTACCATATTATTTTCCCATTAGCTGAAGTCAGCAATTTTAGACAGTCTTGTCTAAAACTCAAGATACATTTCTTGTTTTTAAAATACACAAATAACTGTCTTTATTTTGCGTGTATAGTTACATACATACCAGCATATTCAAAATAAATACAAATACTGGGACACAACTTCTGATGACTTTATTTAGACACATTTTGTGTTTTCCCTTTGAGCTGTGGAAGATGAGTGAAACAACACAAGCATTCCACTTTCATAGTTACGAAGTAAGCCAAAGAACAGAACATAAGTTAGCAAAACCTTGAAGCAACATTTTTCCATTCACTGATAGATAAGAGCAGTATTTTGATTCGCTTCTGCTATGCATATGTACATCAACCCTCTCTGGGAGAGGACTGCAAGTTGAATCTAAGTTACTAGTATGAGCGAATAGCAGGCGGAACACTTGAACAGTCTTCTTCGTTCAAAGTTCTGTCAATTACAGGTCTGTATTTCAAGGTAACCTAAAATAAAAAAAGAACGGAGGGAAAAAAAAAAATCAAGGTAAAGGAATCTCATATCTAACAAAGACAGGCTAGTTAACAAGAGTGACCAAATAACATGGGCAACAATTACTTAGGTTAAATCATTTCCCCATTATTCATTAAATTCCATGGAAAACAAACATATGGTAACCCTCAATAAACATTTAAGTTCTACCAATTTACCAACCAATTGAATCTATTAAAACCAAAAGCCTGATCAGAAATGGTATAGGAAGACTATATATTTAAAAAGAATGCTATCAACAGCTGACCAACAGGACTGCTTCCTGCTGACAGGGAAACTCTCAACCAGACAGCATACCTTCCCTGACTTGACATCCACATATGAAAGAGTGTGCTTCCTCCAATGCTCTTCAAATGGCCTCTTCTGTTGGCCCTGGAGTGGCTTAGAATAGTCAAACTCATCTACCCGTAGCTAAGGAGAAAATGTTAAAATAGACAAGAAATTGGCATCTGCAGATCACTTCAGAATCACATTATTGGCTGCAACTACAATGGATCTCCTAACAGCCAGCAAGCTTTATTTTAATACTGCCCGTGCCAAAATTCAAAGTCCTTGTTAAGCTTCAGTATTAAAATCATGTTCCTTACATAAAATTATTCTGCCTTCAACCCTGTTTGCACATTCACAACCTTATTATTACTGTAGTCCTGTTCCAGATTTCCCTAATCATTCCAATGCATGCACTGGAACATTAAGGACAGCAAATTCAATGCTACATCCAGGCCACATAAAATACATACCTTATAGTCCTCTCTGGCATGAGCACCTCGGGATTCTTTGCGAGCCTCAGCACCATAAATGGTCTGCAGGGCACAAAGCATCAAGTTTTGCAGTTCAAGGGTCTCCACCAAATCAGTGTTCCACACAATACCTAGTAAAATTTGAAACACTGTGGAAGGCGTTCTACAAAAAAGTTTTTTCTTAATTTACTTCTAATCTAATGCTGATACACACAATCAAACTAGTCCATGCTCTACAGAATGCAATCACAGTACTCCAATACTGAATTACTTAGTATTTCCAAGAAGGCTCTACACTGATGCCTGCAGCCTAAGAAAAAAATCTAACTATTACAAAAAAGTGTTCAGGTGCATTACTGAGTGCATGTGCACTTCTGAGACCAAGTTATAATAGCGATTCTCGCCTGCTTTATGTACAACTTACAATTCAGTTCCTACACCTCATTTCAGCTGACAGGATGAGGCCAGATGGTTATTGGTTTTGTTTTTTTTGTTTGTTTGGTTTTTTTTAAGTGGTTGTCTAAAAGACCCAGACAACCCAGGGGTTTCCCCTCAGACTGAAAAAAGAAGCCAGCTTGCTAGACATACAAGGTTCCCCTTAAGTATCTCCAATGCAGACCCCAAGTTCTTTACATGAACATACTTCATTTTATTTCTTATGTTATATCACAACACTTCTTTTCTTGATGCTTGGTGAGAGTTGTCCTGGAGAGACTGCTCTAATTTCAGTGTTTGAATATGTGTCTAAAGAAGGACATAGTAGCTGGAAAGAAATACACAGCTTGAGCAGAGAAAACCTACACCACAAGTTGCACTTAATTCATCAAGTCTTAAGATATACTAAAAGACATGACAGTATCTGTGTGAGAGCTATCTGCTCAGATGAAGAAATAAAATTGAGCATTCAATCTAAAAATAAAGTGTCTTGCCATCTTTCTGCAACTCACTGGCCTTTTCAAAACATATTTCTGAAGTTCCGCTTAGCATGTGAACAAATTCACATCATGTTCTTTGAAGTAGTACACAATTAGAAAGTGCCTAATAAGATCAATTACTTTGCTGATTTCCATGCTTAGCAATTAGGGATCTAAAGATTCAAAATAGTCAAGTCGAGTCAATTTTAGACAAAAAGAAAACAGAAGGTTTATGGAAGAAAAACAAAGTCACCTCTGTAATTCTTTGCTATCAAATTACCTCTGTCAAATGTCTTCAGATGAGCTAAATCACGATAAATTTGGCTAAGTATTTCACAGCCTTCTTGTAGTATAGAGCCAGTACGAAATACAGCGGCATGGCTTTGCATTGTCTGCAAGACAGTAAAAAGAGATCAATTTCACATGCTGTACGTGCATAATATTCCACATAATTTAATTCTAGCACAGCTCAATACAGAGCTTTTTTGACTTCAGGCACGTTTGCAGCCAGAAGAAAACATTTTTCTGTTCACCTCAAACAGAGGAAAACCCTCTCTATTATACAGTGGGATACAGAATATTCACAAAGGAAAGAAACAGCAAAGGAAACAGAGATACAGCTTTATTGTACACATACATCTTCTCATACTCCTTTTTATTTCTGCAAGGCAAATAAAAAAAAGTGGTCACTTAGCAAAGTGACCACTCCATCTCTTCTGCTTGCAATTGTTTTCTGCCTTATACTGCACCAAGCTTACCTTCTGCATGTTAAGTCGCACTTCTGAAGTTCTTATGGTTCCATCAGCAAATCTTAATTTGTCAAGATTAGCAACTGATTCTTCACCAGCATTTGGTTTAATGGAGGGGACTGGTTCTCCTATTAAGAAAATTTCAGTGAGTTTAGTAGGTGAATGTTTCTGGCATATTCATAAAGTCGTAATGACTGTAACTCAGATCTGTTTTCTTTGTCTGAGACATAAGTTGACTCCAATTTTCCCAAACCTATAGTTTTCATAGCACTTTAAAAGATAGAGTTCCTAGTGGAATATTTTATTTTTATTTTCCTGTGATAGTTGATATAGAAATTTCAGGTCAGGCTAAGTTCTGCTGCTAACTCCTTAAAAACTGCACTTGGTGCAAATTCTTCTGAATTGTGCAATAACTTTCACTGGATGTAGCTCATTATTTCCCTCCTATACTTGCCTCGCCTCCTCATCCCCAGATCTCCCATCTTCTCTTGGTCCCTGTTTACGACCAGGATTCAGCCAATAAGCTTGGCAGCTACATGAGATTTCTGCATCTTCCCTCCAACACTAGAAAACACCTGTTGCTGGTTGACAAACATCATTAAACTAAGCAAGCAAGCAATATCTGACTAACACACTTCATCTGTGCAGTTCTGCATTCAGACTAGTAAGAAGTTTCCCACAACTTCAAACTCAGAGGAGCCACAGGACTAATCCAAATAAAACATTTATACAACCCAGAACCAAAAAGCACTGCTAGATCCAAGGGGATTATATCACAGACCACTCCATACATGCTGGGGCAAGGGGAGGAAGGTAGAAGTTTGCTGCCATTTATTTTTTATCAGTCTCACTCTGCATGGTCAAACTATGAGAAAACAGATAAAAACTACTGGAATTCAGCCACTCTTGCAAGGTAACTGCCTCTATCTGCCTCTTAGAATGTTTCATTGTTTTTTGGGTTTGCTTTGTTTTGTTTTTAACTTCAAGCTTAGTAGCTACTGCTGAACCAAATTATTTTAGTAGTAACATACAACAGTGATAACATATATAGAAGGAAGAGCATGTTACAATTTTTACTATTTTTTTCCTATCACTTGCATGTGTAGTCCACCTTGTATATCAACAAGGCAGCAGCAAATCCCACTAAATGAAAGAAGTGTAAAAGCAAAGGACACTTACACAGAATGTAGGGAAGTCTTCATGTTCAACATCATACTTTACTGAACTGTGCAAAATTTCAACTGTTTTTGCCAGTAGCACTGAGAGTACCAGTTTCAAGTGGATAAGCTCACAAAGCAAGCCTTAAGGACAAGCAGTAGCACACTTAAGAATCTGCACATAAGTAGTATAAATACCAATTCTTCCATTTTCTAACAAATAATTGTCTAGGTCTTGCCTTCTGAATTTGAAGTAGGTAAACAACTCGTAAAGCAAGTAGCAAATCAAACGCCTCCATAATAGTAAGACTAACACTAATGCTTACCAGGCTTGCAGGTCTCTGCAATAGTAAGGGCACAAGCACGACCAAAGACCACCAGATCCAAAAGGGAGTTTGCTCCAAGTCGATTAGCACCGTGGACAGATGCAGACGCTGCTTCCCCACAAGCATATAAGCCAGGTACCACCTTATCCTCTCCATTCACATGAGTGATCACCTACCATTGCAGACAGCCAATTAATACTCATTTCTCAAACAGCTTAAGAATGCAAGCCTCCTCATTTTTCAAGTGCCATGTGCAAGTAAGGACAAAACACCATCTGAAGTTTTCCCCAAATCTAAATCTATTAAACAACTTAGTTTAATAACATTATGTAAATACAGATAGCACTAAAATCTACAGTTTATTCAACAGTACTTAACATAACCATATACTACTTCACAGTTTTGCAGAATGTTAGAAAAGCAGAGGATACCAATCTGACCTGTACACATTACCAAGGGAAAAAAATGTATTCAGAAAGTAGGATGCAATGTACTAGAAAAAAATAAATGAATCAGCTGACACTATCAAGTTGATATCTAAATAGTTTAAGTTGAAGGAATCTGTGATTACAGGAGGTAAAGAGAATTAATATGTATTAACTTAATTGTAACAGAGTCCTAGTTTGATCCCTCAGCTGTATCTTATCCTCAAGTTGATAGTTAGAATTCTTGACAGATACGACAGTAACTGTTAACTTCACTTTACAAGTTTTCCAGATTTCCATCTCCAGATGGACTGGAACATGATTTACAAAACCAAACTTCATTGTGTGTTTTAAACGCTCTAACATTATTAAGTTAATGTTCTTCAGCACTCTTACATTTATATTTGGATAATCATTTCCTAAAACCAGATGAAAATTCAGCCACTAAAAATGATCTGTATTACTTACCTGTCCCTTGTAGTTAGTAGGAATACCTCCCATATTATAATGCACAGTAGGCAGAACGGGAATAGGCTCTTTAGTGACATCAACTCCTGCAAATATCATAGCTGTTTCTGAAATCCCTGGGAGACGAGTTGCCAGCTGCTGGGGTGGTAAATGGTGCAACTGCAAATACACATGATCTTTTTCAGGGCCACAACCCCTATAAAACAAGAATTTCAGCATTGGAACACAACAGAAATTCCGCAGAAGCTAGTAATTTTTTTAAGCTAACTTGTTTCACTTGTGATAGATAGCCTTTGCAAAAAAAAAAAAAAAAGATTTTAAAATCCATCTTTGACAAAAAAAAAGAATATCTAGCATTTTTTAAAGCCATTGACCTTGGCAAAAGTGTATTTTTCATCATCCAGCTTTTTTCTCACAACAATTCACAGTATTTAAGACTTTAAACAACTGCATCTCCATAGATAGATGTAAAAGTTTATGATAATTGAACAACTGTCCCTAGACACAAAGAATTAGATCACAAAATCCGTAACATCTTACGTTCCCCCTCCTAGGGCACATTAGTAAGGAATAAGTAAAATTTTTTGTGCCAAAAGTAGTATTCAGGTATTTAACAAATAAACTACCTCACTGCATATAACCTAGTATGATGAAGCATTCATTCTGAAGCTTTATTAGAATATTTAACTAACCTTCCTTCCCTTATCTCTATGGTCATAGAGCGAGACACAACATCCCTGGAAGCCAGATCTTTAGCAACAGGTGCATATCTCTCCATAAACCTTTCACCTTGACTGTTAATTAGAATACCTCCTTCTCCACGACATCCTTCTGTTATGAGGCAGCCAGCCCCATAGATACCTGCAAAGAAAATAGCCATCAAATAAAAGATTTGAGAATTTCCTAACCAAGACAAGCAAGGTTGCAGGAGCAAGGTAATGCAAACAAGTCACATGGCTAGACTTTTTTTCTACCTTAGTATTACCTGCCAATAAGTGTCACCTGTGGCCAGTATGAAACAAGTAGAGTTATTCCTATCAAATATTCTTACTGGACAGTGAGCAAGTTCATTTGGAAGACTTGTGGTATCTAAAGTATTACAACCAGAAGAGATCTGCACCTGTCAATATGTGAGGAGAATTTTCCAGAGATTTTGTAGACCTTCATCAATTACTTTGTTCAAGATTTCCAAAACTGATCATCTTAAGTTCTGCCTACTCATCTTTCTTGCCTCTTCTCCTGCGCTAAGACAGCACAAGAAGGCTTCAAACTGTGTTAAATGTAAAAGCTTACTCGGTAAGACCTTCCTTATCAGAAAGGAGAGTCTTCAGCACTGGTCATCATAGAAAAATAAAAATGCTGACATCCCATGTACCTGATAATTATATTAAAAGCTACGGAATTACAAATAATAAAGCTTCTCTGACTATAAAAGCCTCAGTTACATCAAATGAACACTGACATAACCCTTGACAGGATTAACTAATAACATTGTAGAAGTAAACAATACAAAAAAAACTCATCACTTGCCAAAAGTTAAAACTCAGCATTTATTTAGCAACAAGCAAAAAATAATAGATCTTTATTTCTTAGTCTGTGACCACTGCTGCCTCCAGTTTAGATACTGATACTGTGCTACAAAACCCCAGTCAGAAATATACATTTTTACTTCAACTACCCCATTTTCACAGCATATCCTTATGTGAAACTCCTTAGGCATATGAATCTATCCCACTGTTCCTTAATTTATTATTAAACATCTTATTTTGAGCACAAAAAGCAGCACACATTTCAGAGGAATAGGAGTTTCAACTTGAAAAAGCAGCACCCTTTATATTTAACACTGGTATTACATCAGCTCTGACCTCTCATAGGGGAATAGTTTTACTCTCAGATTTATATTCTACAACAGCTGCAGACAAGTCTGAACATTCCCCTACAAGCAATTAACAAAGTAATGAAGCGCAGCAGAAAAATGCAAACTGACTTAAGCACATTTTAAAACCACACAAAAAAAATTTCATGATACTAAAAAGTTACCTATATTATTTTATAGTCTGTAATTATATTCCATACCTGTAGGGTGAAACTGTACAAACTCCAAGTCCTGGCAAGGAAGGCCAGCTCGTGTAACCATAGCAGTGCCATCACCTGTACTAGTGTGAGCAGATGTACAGCTGAAGTAAGTACGTCCATACCCCCTGCAGAACACAGTTAACAGAATTACCAAAAAATTATCTAATCACACTCTCAGCTATACTGTCTGCAAAGTGATAGAACTAGAAAAGAGCAATAAGCAAAATACCTAAGGGATAATTACCTAAGAGTAATATCAAATTACCTAGCTTTTCCTAAGTTCAACTAAAACAAAAGAAAACTGATGTAGTCCTGTTATAGTCAGCCTCACCTGAAAAATGGCTAATGACAAAATTACTTGAGAAAGATTAGTCTCCATTTAAACTATTACTAGCAGTTTTAGCAAAATGACTTACATATGTATACACATGGCCCTGATTTGACATGCTTAGATCTGAAAAGTTGCTTCTCTAAAATTCACTAACAGTAAATTCTCACGAATATAGCAAAGATATTAGCTTCCAATGTTTCTGAGCACTGCCAATACTCCCTAGTTTCAGGATAAAATCTCACAAGAAATATTAAACTACTTATTGTAAGTAGCTCAAATTACTTCAGTATTAAAGCCACGGTTATTTTAATAAAGCCGGATTTCAACCAGCAAGCTCATTTTTCTATGCAAGATGTTTATAAACATATCTATCACACTGAAACAGATAAGAAACAATAAGCAGCAGAACTCTAATCCAAATAGTGCTCCAGTACACATACACAAATTTCTGCAACCAGTGATGTAAAGTTACACTTATCTTCTGACAGCTTCATCCCACAGTGATCAGACTAAGAATTTTGTTATCTTAATACAACAGATTCTCAAGAACCTTGAAAAAGCTGTTTACTACTGGAAATTCAGAATCTTACGGAAATATATATACTTTGGTAACATCACAATGTCTGCTTTCTAAAGCACGTTTTTTTAGCAACTTAAGATATTTGGACCATACATAATGCTCTTAAACATTTCAATTTTATGTCATTATTCTAGAATTTACAGTTAGACTTCTTATTAAATTTATACCTCAGTAAAATGTAACAGATGCTTTCTTGCCCTAGGAAATGATAGAGTTCACAGTAATGCTGCTTTTGATTGAAGGGGAAAAACATAACTGCTTTTTTCTTTTCCCCTCAAGTCAGTATGTCATCTCTATACTATGGAGTCAGACACACGTACAAGACAAGCAGCCCTCTAAATAGCAGCACTCTCAAGATTACCATAAATATTACATTACCCAGTGGCAATGACAGTGTTCTTTGCTCTAAAACGATGTATAGTGCCATCTTCTATGCAAAGAGCAATAACACCACGACATTCTCCATTTTCCATCAGCAAGTCCAAGGCAAAATATTCAACAAAGTAGCTGGTATCATATCTTAGAGACTGGAGAAAAATAAAAAAAGAATTAAAAAAGGAATTTTAACAACAATACCCCACACACCTAAGTAGCCTCTTCTCAAAACTGTCAGACTGCAAGCAGACTGTATCACAATGGAAAAAACAGCCTTCCACCAACCATCAGAGAAGCCAGTTCCCTCTAGAAATCTCCATAAAAATCTACTAACAAGCCTGATCTAGCTCAAATGCATATAGTTACCAAACCACTCAATTCTGAGAATTCATAGCTAGTCAGCAGGATGAATTTTCACTGTGTTTGGCAGCACTTCAGTCAGCTGCAGTTCTTGTTGCTCGTATAAGCACGTATTATGAGGTCTCTCAGAAAAGCAGAATACGCTTCTGGAAGCCATAAACAGCCAGCAGGCATCACCAAGCTAAAGACATTCTTTCATGCCCTCAAGGATCAGAACTGCTAAGCGTTTTTATTGCAGCAGTATGTGTAACCTGAAGGACAGAAATTAGCTAACCACTAAGTAAATAAATAATTACTAGGCATAAACTTCAGGTTTCAAGTACTTTAGTACCATTAAAAAGAATGAAGTTTTTTCCACAGTTACAGTTTGTAGAATCAACGGGATCAAATGCTACAAGTCTAGTCATTTATTTCCATAAAGAAAACACCAGGAGACCATGTTGCCCTTTATGCATTTATGCTTCATTTCTCCCTGCTCCCTGTTTTATAAGGGAAAAAAATGCTGCCTGGTATCCTTTATCAGAGTTCCCCAACACCACTTTTTTTTTTGAGGAAAAAAAAAAGATTTTGAGGAAGGCTTAGATAAGTTCTGTCTGGATCTAGTGAACAGATACAGAAGCAGCAACAATGAAGAACTACTTCAGACCACAAAACTAACAGCTACTTAACATCCACTGTTTTCAAGACAGACATCCACTACAAATACAATCTTTCAATATATTCTAATTTCTGTGTACTCTTGACAAAGAAAAGCAAGCATCACGCAGCCTATACCCTTCCATGGTGCCTCGCAAAGAAAGGAAATTTTCCCAGATTCCTCATTGATAGGCATGCAAGTTTTTTTTGTGTACATCCAACACCAGAAAATACCATTCAAAAAAAGGAATTAAAATACCGCCAAAACTTACAAAAAACAAACAAATCAAGTTTTACTTTACAGCTCCTTACCCTGCCATACAGAGTATGCAAGAGCGAGTGTCCTGTCCTGTCTGCAACACAACAGCATCTGTGAGCCTGTCCTCCTTTTCCAAACTGAAGACTCTGTCCTCCAAATGCACGCTGGTAGATTTTTCCTTCCTCTGTTCTACTGAATGGCATCCCATAGTTTTCCAGCTGTTAAATCAAATAAAAGAATCAGTTGTGCATAATAAGCAGCAAGTTAGTTCACTGTGTTCCTAGTGAGAAACCACTCTGAGCGCTAGTCCATTGTAAATAGTTATCATCAATGTCACCTAAGCTCACCTCTATCACTGCAGCTGGGGCTTGCTCAGTCATGTAGTGTATGGCATCCTGGTCACCCAGCCAGTCAGACCCTTTCACTGTGTCATAGAAATGCCACCTCCAGTTATCATCTTCCATGTTCCCCAAAGCTGCGTTGATCCCTCCCTGAAAGTAAAAATACATTTTCCTGGAATTAAATCTGTGAAGTACAGCCTTATTAGAATTTCCCTGGTTCCCGTTAGAATTTCGTATAATTTATGCCTCAATATATAAGTAAATACGGATTTAAAGAGGCTGTGAAAAAAATGCATGCAATTTATCATTTTCGCAATGGCTCTTTATCATAGAATGGCCTGGGTTGAAAAGGACCTCAAAGATCATTCAGTTTCAAACCCCCTGCCATGGGCAGGGTTGCCAACCTCTAGATCAGGCAGCCTGGAGCCACACCTATTTTGCTCTGTTTAGTGGAACAAAACAAACTGCAAAGCTACGCGGAAGGCAACAAAAAAGAGAACTGAATAGAAGCTACATGTATAAATTTAGTTGAAATTATTTTGGAGAGATATATAATGTTCACAGAGGCCATACCGATACACCTGTGCGTATCCATATCACCTTTCTTACAGTAGGTATCTCTAAGCATATGTTCCACCTCATTTCTCACCTGCGCAGCAACAGTGTGAGACCTGGTGGGAAACAGCTTTGTAACACACGCTGTATTAAACCCAGCCTCAGACAAACCAAATGCAGCCCGCAGGCCTGCTCCTCCTGCACCCACAACAACTGCATCAAACTCATGGTCCACAACTGGATATTGTGTAGAAATCTGGAAAAAAATAATAATGTGTTTGTTATCACAAGTATTTCAAGCTAACTTGAGGTTATTCATACATACGCAATATATTTCAGCAACTCAATCTCACCATGTACTTGAGCACAACACTCCACTAAAACAAGAACTAGACGCAACACAGCGAGCTGTTTTCTTCTGTGTCTCTGATACATTAGGTGTTAACTGATCTGTTACTTGAGATGGAGAGAAGTATGAACGTACCGAATCAGAAACTTTGGCAGAAGCACTTTTCTTTCCATCGACTGTAAAGTGAAAGTTGCGTGCAAGAGTCTGGCATGCTGCTGGCCACTGCAGAAAGAAATCAAGACAACTATTATGAAACAAATCTTTTTAAAAGGAAGAACTTCAGCATACTCAACTATTCTATGTTACAGTAACCATTTACTCATCACTGATTCAAGAATCATGAACCATCATTGAATAGTTTGGGTTGGAAGGGACCTTAAAGACCACACAGGTCCAAGCCCATGGCCCTTGCCACCCACAAGATCAGGCTGTGCACTGCATCAATGTATTTCAGAAATAAATGCAGTGAAGTTTGGGCTCTCTTACATTCAGTTGTGAAAGCATTCAAAGTTTTGACTGGATGAAAGATCAACCTGCAAGTAAAAGGATGTAACAGACCATCAGATCACTAACCAGTCTCTCAGACCTACCTGCGGCTGCAGTGATAAAAGTATGTTTGCAGTCAATATGGTACATTATTCCAATTTTCTCTTATGTAAGCAAAGATGAAGACAGCTTTATGACAACCACAGGAATTACTGTAAAATACTTCTCTTAGGTCAAACAATGCTGAGAATTTGAATTATTTCAGGTGCTTAAAAGTAATGAATTAAAAAAAAAAAACCAGTGGTGGGGAAGGCTGTTCCTGATTATTGTTGCTTCAAAAGCCAAGTCTGTTCTTGTTGTTTTCATTCTCTGCGATCAGTGACTGATTTAGAACAATGTGTTCATATCTGAATGAAGCACAGGGCACTTACCCTTTCTGCAGTGTTAATCCGTCTTCCCTACCACATTCAAAACCAATAAAACAAAAACAACGACCAAACCTAATACCTCAATCCACCAGTATCCACCTTAAGTAATTTAAAGGAATCAGAGTTTTAATGCTCACAGTATATTTCATCAATTTATTGGCATCTACTATTCCTACTCTACATTGTTAAAAAACGTACCTAACTGAGCACGTATGTTTGATTAGAAGAGCAACACGGTCATAACAGCGATTGGTAATGCAATATCAGCACTTCTCTATTTGAGGTATCACCCTGGAGCATTTTTAGACTGAATTTGCTTTTCCCAGCAATTGTTGCAGCCATGGTCTCATCACCCAGCAGTTGCAAACACTAACAAGCAGGTCCTCCTTCTCTGTCACTTCCCAATGACCACTTTCTAATTGAAGTACATTACCGTTTAGTTGACCCAGCTTTATCATCTCTTTTACTGTTCCTTCATATGATCTTGCATAACAGTGAATCTGATGTGTCATCAAACTTGCTGACACACTTCTGTTTTGTTGGTTTATTTTTTTTTTTTATAGCCAAGGGAATTAGGTTCTTACCTAATTAAACAAGATTAGTATGAACAGCTATAACTAATTAATTCCATTAGTACTTCTTAAAGAAATGACTCTTCCGCTTTCACCTTGCTCTCTTACTACACTCTGGGACAATTCTATATCCACCTTACTTTTCATATTAAGTCACCTTCATTAACCGTGGTTATGCCCTAAAGCATAAAAAGATATTGACCCATATTTTCTCCCTCAGAAATGACAGTCTCCAGTTATTTCTGGAGACTTTCAGCCATGCCTTAGAAATAATTTCATTTTCAAAAAATCTGTTTTTGTAAGTGGCTATACCACACTTCCATAGTCCTAGGACTGTTAACTTTGGGAATATGTTTTTCCATCTGGAAACACATTAAAAAAAGCAAAAAGAAAAACCACACAACTCTAGCAGATTCCTTCTCACATCTTAGCTTCTGTTAAAACAGAAGCTTTCAGAACTGCTATTCCTATTCACACAAAAAGTACCATATTTAAAGAACATATTGATCATACTAACCCTGAGCTGTTTATGCTACCAGGTACACTGTGAGCCTTAAAAAAATCAAAGGTCCAATCAGAGCTATTTCACTAGCATTCAGAACATAAACACACTCTTTAAGCCTCTTTCTCCAATTAGGAGTCTCTCTCCTGCACATGTAGAGTCATTAAGGATAGAAAAGACCACTCAGCTCATCTAGTCTGGCTGTCAATCCATCCCCACCGTGCCCACTAACCGTGTCCTCAGTGCCACATCCACACGTTTCCTGAACATCTCCAAGGACAGTGACTCCACTGCCTCCCTGGGAAGCCTGTGACACTGCCTCACCACACTGAGAAGAAACTTCTAATATGCAACTTGAGCCTCTCCTGATGCAGTTTGGGCCATCATCTCTCATCTAATTGTTGCTACCTGAGAGAAGAGGCCGACTGTCACCTTACGAGATGGGGTCAACTACAGGTGTGCTGTGAGCTTTCCTTCCCTGTGCCTCTTTCATCATCACAAGCTCCCCACAAACAAGAACAAACAGAAAGCTCCCACTTCTCAAGATAAAAAACAAGCTGTTGGACCGTGTGATCTTCACAGGTCCCTTCCAACCGTTCTATTCTCAGCCTTCACTGATGATCCTCTACAGATTCGCTGAAGTAAAGCTGCCAGATGTTTGAGACACACTCCCCGCACAGCCAAGCTCCAGTAACATGGACGCTGTCCAGCTTTCCACGAAGACCTCACAGGAGTGCGCAGCACGGTTTCTACCCAGAGGCCTGGGCAGAAAGCGCTTAGATCCGCCAGCTCGCTGCAGGGAACGGACCTTCGCAGCACGCCCTTCAACCGCAGCCGCGCCCGCAGGCTCCCAGCCAGGAGCAGAAATGGGGCCGCGCCGAGCAGCCCCCGAGCGCCCAGGGCCTCGCTCCAAAATAAAGAACTGCAGACAGAGCCCCCAGCCCGAGGAGAGCCCGCCGCGGAGCTCCGGCTCTCGGCCTCACCCCGCGCCCCGGGGCCGGTTCCCCCGCCAAGGTCACCGCGGAGTCGCGGCACAGGGGATGCCCCGCGCGCGGTGGGACGGGGCCGGGCGCGCCGCCCCGGCGGCGGCAGCAGCACACGCGGAGCCCCGTGCCCGCGGCGCCCGGCCCCCGCCCGGGGGGATCTCGCGCCAGCCCCGAGGCCGGAGGCTTCCCGCTCAGCCGGGCCGCCTGCGGGAAGAAGGAAGGAGAGAGGGAGTCGGACTCAGACGAGCCCGGCAGGGTGAGAACGCCACTCACCGCCCGCGCTGCCGGCCGCAGCCAGCACTTAGCCAGGCTGCGCGACGCCGTCACCACCGCCGCCATTTCGCACAGCCCCGGAGGAGCCCGCGGCGCGCATGCGCAAGGCCGCCGCTACCGGCGCCGTTACTCGGGAGGCCCCGGCGGGACAGACCAACCGGCGGGCGGGGGTTTGCCTGAGCGGCCTTACCCTCGGACCTCCCCTCACGTCGACACCCCCCGCTTCTCTACGCTAATGGGCCGGCCCGGCAGGGGCGGGACGGGCAAGTAAGTGACAGCGGCGGCGGCCCCGGGCCGGTACGTGGTGACCCTGCGAGGCTCCGTGTTCGCGGCCGTCTGCCTGGTCGTGCCTGCCGGCGGCACGGAGGCCTCAGGGGTGCTGGCGGTATGCGCTGTTCCCGCAGCCGGCCGGGGCAGGGCCAGGCGGGGACAGAGGTGGCCGATGAGGCCTGAGGGGCCGACAGCGCCGTTCCCCGTGTGTGGGACTCTGTGCGTGAGGGTTTCGTTCCTCTGGAAGCGGTCTGGTTTGACTCAGGGTGTGGGGCGGAATCACCGCTGGCGGCGGCTGTGGGAGCGGCCGGTGTCCCTGGGCACAGCGCTAACACGGTGTTTATCTCCTGTTCGTGCAGGGTGTCTTCATGAATAACTTAAATGATCCTCCCAACTGGAACATTCTGCCGCATCACAGAGAGCCCAGGGATGAAGGCAGCAGATGGAATTATGCCTTGCTGGTCCCCATGCTGGGCTTGGCTGCCTTCCGTAAGTAGCACAAATCCGCCCTGCTGGGGCGTTGCTGTGTTTGGGCGTCTGACCGCAGTGAAAGCTCTGAACAAGAGCAAATCTCAGCGACAAAGCAGTGCCCCAGCTGGGGACTTCTGCTCTGTTCGCTGTCCCCGGAACCTGCCTGTGTTTGGGAATGTCACTGTAACGCTGCTTATAACACTGGGGCAGTGGCCTTTTTTGACACATGGAGTTCAATCTCTTTTAATAAACTTCAGAAAGATCTCTCATAACAAGTATGTTAGAGAGCCCCAAGGAAACCCCCAGAGTGATCATGATGTATATCTGCTTACTGGACCTGAAAATTTCTCAGCGCAGTCTATGCATGAAAAACTTCCATCCTGTTTACCAATAATTCCTTTTTTCTTCTTAATAAGTGTACATACTAGCAAAAAAAAAAAAAAAAGACTAATGGATACATTCAAACAAAACATGATCCTTGAAAGAGACCTCCTGTGAAATGTGGACCTGCAGAAATAAATTTTGTGGGATGTGTGAACAGAAGTGAATATCATGGAACTGTATAATAAATAAATAAATATATAATGAGGGATCTCAGAGATCAATTAGTTCTAACCCCCCTGATGCAGGCAGAGTTGACAACCACTGAATTGTGCACTAGATCAAGTTGCCCAGGGCCCCATCCAGCCCTGCAGGGATAGGACATCCACAGCTTCCTGGGGCAGTGTGTTCCTGTACTTCACCACCCTCTGTGTAAAAAATATCCCCCTGACATCTAATCTAAATCTCCTCTCTTTTAGTTTTAAACCCATTCCCTCCTGTCCTATCAATATCTACCCATGTAAAAACTTGACTGCCCTCATGCTTGTAAACTCCAGTTTCATATTGGAAGGCTACTGTCACATTTCTCCTGAGCCTTCACCAAGCTGAACAAGCCTAGCTCCCTCAGCCTGTCTTCATAGTAGAGGTGCTCCAGCCCTCTAATCATCTATGTGGCCTCTGCTGGACCTGCTCCAGTAGCTTCACATCTTTCGTGAGCTAGGAGCCCCAGATCTGGAAGCAGTATTCCAGGTGGGCCCTCAAAAGGGCAAAGCAGAGAGGAACAAGCATTTCTGTCACCCTGCTGGCCACTTCTCAGTGTCGCCAAGTGGGAGGGGGGAGGAAGGAACGTTTTCACCATTAAATAACCTCTTCAGGGGCAAAATTAATTGTCCATACCCATCAATGCTGATCACTGTAGTCTCGTTTATGTATTTTAGGCTGGATCTGGACCAGAGAATGTCAGAAAGAAATAGAAAGAGAAAAAAAAGAATATTATAAAAAGCAGTCATCTTTACAAAAAGACCTGGAAGCCAAGTACCGGGATATAATCACAGAAAATCGTCGTGCAGTTGCACACTTGGAGCTGGAGCTTGAAAAGGAACGCAACAGGACCCTGAGTTACCGTGAAGCCCTTGTGTCCCAGAGTCGCAAACTAGTGGAAGAGAGAAGGATCCTAGAACAGGAGCAAGAGAAGTTAGAGAGAGAAAAAGAAGTTCTTTTGCGCTCGGGAGCAGCAGGAACCTTGTACCAAAGCTGTCTGGCAAAGGAAGAGGAGTGGCAGAAGAGAGCCAACATTTTACTAAAAGAATTTGAAGATGGGCTTAAAGAAAGACAGGAAATCTACTGCAGTTTTGTAGTACCTAAAAGTCAGAGACTAGAAATAGAGAAAAATCTGCTAGTTAAAGCAGCGACTGATCCTGTTGCTATGGCTTTACATATGGAAAGTGGCTTAAAAGATATTTTCAAACATGATAACTATTGTGGCAATCTGATGAACAAAAACAGAAGTCAAAACGGAAGACTTATGTGGTTGTATTTGAGATACTGGGAACTAGCTGTTGAATTACAGAAGTTCAAGAGGGTAGAAAATGTCATGTTAGGAAAACGATAGAGGAAGGAATGGTGATTTATGCAGTCTACTATGAAGGATAGGGACAACCACAGCTGTAGCCTGAAGTGGGTAAATTCTGCATTTCAGTTTCTGCTCTTCGTTGTATTTGTATCTGCATGGGACGTGCAGTGTTGTTTAACAACAGATGCTGCAGTGAGCTGTGCATGCTCTAAAACTGTGTTTGTGTATCTCTGTATTACACTGCAGTCTGCAATACAAGCTTCAGTAGGTATCAGAAGCAGCAAAACAATTTGATTTAGAGTAATTTACCCAGTTGAAGGTCATAGTCCATCAACAGAGAAGTGGAATTTTTCTTCCTTAAGTGGATGGTAATGTCATGCTCCTTATTCTTGATGTTCTGCACAGTGTCTCAACACTGTCTTCTTTTCAGCAGAATTTTGGAAGAAACCATGATTGAGTAAAGTGCCTGTCACGTAATGTGTGTGCATATATACATACATTTATAAAAAATTGTATGTATGTTTGTGTACATGTATATAAGAAAGGAATAGTATAATTATGTTTCATATTAACCAATCTTGCATTGTCTTCCAGACTTAAAACACAAACAGGACTTCATGAACATCCAAAAAATGGTAATTAAAATAACATGTAAAGAAACAGATTGATTAAAGTCACATTGGAGTTGGGGAGACATGCTTGAATATTAAATAGTATGTAGACTTGCAGTTATATTCTCACAGTACGTTATTCACGCTAAGAATACTTATGTTTTTTCTTTTCCTCAAAGTTTTAGTTGTAACCCAATGTGTGTTGCCATTATAGACATTGCTCTGCTGCTGCCTCTGCATCCCAGTGCACTTGGTACATTTTTAGTTTTCAGGAACCATGATAGTCATTGCACCTGGCTGTACTGCTTGTACAGGTGTTCCCAGCTAGGAGCCTAAATGCAGCCTGGGAACTGGTAGCTACCCTCCCCCTTCCTGACTGTCTCTGTGTTCCCAGACCTGAAGTGCACAATTCCACAGCTCTTAAATTTTGAGCTTACAGGTCACCCCTTAGAGCCCAAAAAGGAAGTGTTTACCTTCTTGTTTATAATGCCGATCTTCTCTGTTACTTGCCTTCAATTAGTGTTGTTAAGTTTTTGGTTTCTTTCTTTATTAAGTGCCAAACATTTGCTCTAGGCAATTAGCTGTCACATAGCCCAAAAACAATCCAGCTCAGTGAATGCCCATCCAAGTTTAACAGAGACCTCCAAGAGATGCAGAGTTTTCTCTTACTACTGCCTGGTTTTCATTTTAGTCAGGAGCAAAAGACAGAAGATAAATCTTCTGAAGTAATGTATACAACCTAATTCATTTTCTCAGCATAAATAACATGGAACAAAATTCTTAAACACGTTTGTTTCCCAAATACTCTACTTTCCGTCTGTCTTTTTGCTCACTTTTGTGGTGTTACTCATTTTGTTGTATTAATTTATTAGCTTCTCATGGGCTCTTCTTTTTTGTTTTATTTTTAAATAAAGTTAATCATGGGAAAAAAAGACATACGATCACAGTCACTAGAAAGGCCAGAGGTTATCTGGATGCCAAGCTTATGCAGGTTGCACCATGAAAATGTGAGTTAGTACTTTTGTGTAGCTGTTGTAGCTGACCACATGTACATGCCCTAAGTGCCCAGTAGAACAGATCTGATTAAATAACTTATCTTGTGTATAATTCCTTCAGGATGTGTAAGGTGTGACCACACAGCTGTCGTGTTTCATGTGTACATCCAAGCAGTTACAGCAACACAGCTAGCAAACATTAGACAATGAATTGATGCCAATACATTCAAGCCTCATATCTTGACTTTGTACATCTTCACTAATTTTTAATATTAGAAGTTGAAATGCTATGCTTTTTCAGTTTTTTTCATAGTTCATGTCCTTGACATCAACTCAAATTTTTTTAAAAAATGAAATGAACAGGGTAAAATACTTTTTTTCAGTATAAATGAATGAGTTGAAACTTCATACATCTTCATGTAACATCTTCAAGTAACATCTTCATACATCTTACATGGTTGGATGCAGTCTGATGTTGGATATTCACTCTCACTTTATAAGTTATCAACTATTTCTACAACAAAGTGTGGAACTGTTGTTCGTGGACACTTTGCAGATCAGTGTATTAAGAGTGTATTAAGATCAAGGAGTTTATTTCAGGAAGATTTTTCCATGTGTGTAACTAGTTTAGAAGCATCAGTCCTGTTAATTTCTACCAGAACTCATGTTTCTTAGTTTGTTGTGTATTTCTGAAACATTCCCCTGTTGTAAACTGTTATTTTGAGAGTTCTATTGTGAACTATTGCCCAGCAACTATTGTTCTGGATTAGCTATTTGTTTGAAAATGCCCATATATATATATGAAGAATGAAAGAACAATTTGTTTTCAAATATTTAATGAAGGGTGTTGTTTTTTATTTTTATTTTATGAAAATACCATTCGTGTTAAACAAGCAAACAAGAATAACAAATAAAAGAAATCCTTACACCTTTCTTCTCTGTTTTATTACTTGGGCGAGGTAGGCGGGAGGAGCGGAATTTGCTATTTTATGTCAACTTTCTAAGCACACTTCACAATCTTAAGGTTGTGTAAGTTGTCTAGTTTTTAAACAGGGACACAGAAAGTGTCAGTAAATACACAAGAGCACCAATATTAACTGAAGATAAGTGATTACAGATGACCAGCACACTGTATGAAAATGAACAGATGCTGTCTAGATGTTTAGATACATTGTCTAACCACCTGGTGTGAAGGATCCAGTGCACTACTAGAGACTTCCTTGAGCAGTTCATGGGGAAAGATCAAGGAATTGAGCAAACCATGCATCATTCTAAATTGTCAATAGAAACTGTTCCAGCCTATGAAAGACATACGACTGTCTTTTGTTCATAGTTCTGTTTAATATTTAAGATGTGATGCCTATGTAGGTTAAGATAAACAACATAACTGATGTGCAGACACTGTAGCATGACATAGGTCCACGTGCCAATTGGATTTTAAGTATTCACCAGAACAAGTCTGGGGAGTCTTAGTCTATCTAGCTGAAGACACCATTGCAGGGATGTTTGCAACACCAGTATCCACACAGCAACCTTGGTCTAGAAATCCAATTTCCCCCATGAGCATTACTCTGCAAAAAAAAAAAAAAAGCATTACTGATAAGTACCCCTGAAAGTGCTAGCTACTGTAATGGATACTAATGGAAGCAGTCAAGCACCTGAAAGTAAATGCTGCCTCTGGAAACTGAACCTGAGGAAGAGACTGAGGAGTGCAGAGAGACTGTGAGACGCATCATGGTTGCAACTCATTGTCACACACCCTGAACAGCTCTGTGCTCTGGGCTGATTCCACCCGAACTGGCCAATTGCTGCAAAACCTCTCCTTTGCCCTTCTTACAAGCACTCCTACAGGTTTGTCTTTCTTAGACACCTGACTTCTGAACAGGATTTACACAGGACAAACAAAATCCACAGCTAAAGCAGTTGGTGCTTCATGTTATTAAGTGCTGACCCCCAAAATGTGGCTAATCACGCTTCTTGTTAGCAGCCTGAGCTGCAACCCCCTGTTTTTATTAACTCTTACACTTTATGGGCAGATCTTTCTGCTCCAGGTGCACTTGAGCATGATAATGAGAAAGATGAGAAGAAATGTAGTTTTTGTTGACCAAGACAGAATGAATTTTTCTACACCAAACCAGGTTTTATGGTAGACCTTTATGTAAAGACGACATGCAGGGCTGTAGTTCAGCAGCATCCCAGTATCTCATTGCATACCACAGCACTGGCACCATTAAAGTTTCCTGAATGGGCTGCCTGTGGAAATCATTATTAACATAATTAACATAATTAACATAATTAACATAACACCCTACCTCTGTTATGTTCCCAAGAGCCTGAAACGGAGTTTCAGTAAGCTCTCTGTTGTTTCTCCTCTGTGGTTATACAAAATGACTTCTCTTCCATCCAGAAAAATTTACAAATGCATGAAAAGAGATTTAATCTCCAAAACATTGAATTTCTCCAAAACCTTCAAGGTATCCCTGTGTGAACTCCTGTGGTACTGATGGCAATGTGTGAGCACACACACAGGAATTCAGCCCTGCCAGCTGAGAAGCTGTGCCTTTTGTCTGCTTACCAGCTAAAGTTGGAGAACAACAGAGCATAAAACTTAGAACAAGTTAAAGATCTACAGAATATTTCTTGGTGTGGCAAACTCTATAACCACCTGCTGTTGAATATTACCCCTAACACTAAGCGACTGAAACATTTTGCCTGCGTATCTTGTGTTCTGATGGGATTGTTAGAGTCCCTTATGTTCAGGATATCCTGAACCTGGGGATCAGTGCTCCTTCTATGTACATCTTGTCAAGGATTTTGCCCACTGTTAGCTCACAAAAGTATCCCTTATTTTCTCCGAATATTTTTTACAGAAGGTCTGGACTTTGTCAGGGTCACTGTCAGAGAGAGCATTTTGTTTAACTTCCAAATGTTCTTCATCACTTATATCTTCCCCATCTCACTCTTCCAAATAAGAATCCTATCTTCTAGGCATCCTGCAGTACAGTTACCTCTCTCTTTATATTTCTGTCTTTTCCGGTTTGAGGCTCACCACACAACCTCTGCTTTGCACAATCTTCCACTTCATTACCCTCAATATCTGAGTCAGGTTTTATTTTTGCCCCGGGGTGATGGCAGTAGAAAGAGAAGGAGGAGCAGGTGCTAAGCCACCATGCTTTGGCTCTCATTTTGAATGCTTGCCACCACAGGAATATCTAGATGTGGAGAGAAGCACTTCATAGATGTGCTTAAAGGTTTCTCTGCAGGAGGAGCATCATGTTGCTCTGAAGGGAAGATGGTGAACATGCCACAAACATGTTCAAAATTCCTCCTTCCTTGGAGGTGTTTAAGGAAACGATGGATGCAGCACTGATGGACATGGTTAATGGGTAACATTGCTGGTAGGTGGATGGTTGGGCAAGACTGTCTTAGAGGTCTTTTCCAACCTTAATGATTCCATGATTTTATGATTCGTACCAGTATTTGCTACGGTAATAAGAAAGGTCAGAAAATGAAATGCATTCTAATAGTATTGAATATTGTAAAGCAAAATTAGAGAGCAAACTTGGTGTTTATGATTGCCTTTAGCTGCAATGCTCTGTAATCATCAGTCTCAAAATATTTGAAGAGTTACAGATTTATCCTATGTCATATCAAGGACAGTAGAATCACAAAGAAATGAACATTCTGTATTTCATTCCTGAAACTATGTCTGAATGGAAACCTCTTACATTGCCCTCTGTTTCTCTCAGTGGCTTTGAAGTAAAGGAATGTTTGATTTTTAAAGAGCACACTCGCTTTCTTTTCCTGGTTATCCTTGTCCTCCACTCACTGCACCAGAAGGTGCCCTGTCTGGCTCCAGCAGTTTCTTCAGTTGATGGATTCAATTCAATCACAGAAGTGATGAGTGTCCTCTCAGTGCAGATGGTTTTCTGCAGGGTTAGCGAGTTGCGCTGTCCCAGGAGTGCCAACACCAAGTGAGACCTGAGCAAGGTCAGAACCAGGAGAAGCTGGCAGGTGGTCAACCTGGGAGGAGTATGAGGACGTATCTGCACCTCAGGAGGAAGGAGGCCAACCAAAACCATCTTCGGTTATGCTTACTGAACATAGCCCTATGCCTTCACCCGACACATCGACCCTTGCCAGGCTAACCAAAGGAGCTAAACATGTTGAGTGCTGCCAGGAGCCCTGTACATCATGCCTGGACCTGTCCCCACAGAAAGAAGCAGGCCACCCCTTCCTTACTGATCTGTACTTGTTTTGCTCATCTGTATCCCTGGTATCATTCTTCAATTACTTTCCTCTCTTACATTTTCCTGAGGTCTTCATTGTCCTGCAAGGTGAAAGACATGATCAAGCTGGATATCAGGAAGAGGTTCTTCACCAGGGGGTGGTGCCATGGCAAAGGCACCCCGGGGCATGTGGTCATGGCCACAAGCTGCTGGAGTTCAAGAAGTATATGGATAACACTCTCAGCTATATGGTCTCATTTTTGGGTAGTGCTGTGTGGAGCCAGGAGTTGGACTCAGTGATCTTTGTGGGTTCCTTTCAACCTCGGATATTCTGCAATTCTGTGATCTAAGAAAAGTCCTGCACTCTAAGGAGAAGTTAATTGCAGAGCAAAGGAAGAGGCCCTGTTGAACAAGCAAATAACTGTATGTCTCTGGCTCTGTGTGGCAGCGCACAGCCTTGAGCTGAAGTCAGTGTGAGTTGAGAAAAGCTTGTCCTACAACACATCAGGAAACAAGCCATTGCTGCATGAGCATTCGATGCACAGTACGTTGTTTGCTCCAATCCACAGGGTGGCAATGTAGACAGCCCCTTGGCCAGCCGCAGCTGGTGGCAGTGCTGCTGCAGGTCCTGCACGGAGGCACAGTGCTGCCATGACCCACTGTTAGCTGTGCATCAATAAGAAAAGTCGAGCTAGGTGCTGTACCAGAGTATTTTTTTCTGCACATGTTTAACAACTTAAAAGACGCTGGAGCCTGGCATTACCAAAGTAAGAGAAACTCTGAAATGTATTCTTGGATCCTAATGCAAATTGAAACTTAGAGAGAAATTTTCATATCATCTGAACATTCCATGTCATTTATTTCACATCTTGTCAGTTAACCCTCCAGTAATTTGGTTCCCAATGGAAGATAAGATTATTCCTGCTATCATATATTCATAGAATCATAAAGTCGCTCAGGTTGGAGAAGACCTTAAAGATCATCAAGTCCAACCACAACTTAACCGTACTACCCTAACTCTAACAACCCTCCACTAAAATCATGTCTCTGAGCACCACATCCAAACAGTTTTTAGACACATCCAGGGATGGTGACTCAACCACCTTCCCGGGGAGCCCATTCCAGTGCTTAACAACCTATATCAGCTTGCATGGCACTGAAGGAGAACCATGGTATTTTAGGATTAATAAATTCCATACAGAATCTCGATTACCATGGATTTATGATTACATAGCATCATTAACATGTAGCTATAATAGAAATTGTTTGGACACTATATAATCATAACCAGATTCAGATATTGAAAAAGGGTCTGTGTATGACTTCACAAATCTCTAGAACTAAACCCTACAAGCCAGAGAAAGTAGAAATATGAAATAAATCAGGAGAAGATGTTTGCTTTGCCTGACTGCCTTCTGTCCATTATTTATTACCATCTCATATTTCCTACAGTGTGAATGCTGGGATTGTCTCCTGATTCGAGCAGAATAATAACCGAGAATGAGCCTGCAGCTCTTGGAGCATGCAGTTTCTTACTCCTTTTCCAAAAGGTCAGTGTTTTTCTCTGAGTCTGGAAAATTGAAGTGCTGCAGTTTGGAAGTTTTCTATTGTCACTTTTAAGTGAAAATTGATTTTTCTGTACAAGGGAAGCACAGTAAAGATAGTCATTTTGGATATCTGTTCCCACTTCACCATGGCTGTGTATTAGCTGAACTAAATAGGAGATATAGAGTGAACAAAGAAAGAAGTAAACTGTGCTGAAAGCAGAAATGATGGTCTAGGGGAATGGTACTTGCATTTGCTCAAGCTGAGAAACAGACCTTTTGTCACTCTTCTACTAATGACCAAGGACAACAGTAGTAGCATGTTAGTGAAATGTTCATGACACAAGTTCAGAAGTATCAAAAATACTGGAAAAAGTAGAGTATCATTCAGGCAGAACTCAGTGTAGTGGAGTTGCGTGAACTGAGCTAAATTTAAAATATATTTGGGAAGCTTAGACAAAGGTATTCTGCTGCAGGTTAGGAACCACATAAGGAGAAAAAAAGCTTTGATCCAATGGCAATCAGGAGACAGATAATCTGCAAAACTGACGAAGTTATGAAAAAAGGCAAATGATATCACTAGGAAGATTAATAGAGATATTTCAAGTAAAGGTAAGTAAATACTTGTGTCTGATTACAAGGCACAGGAAAAATCCTGGACTGCTTTGTATAGTATTAGTTTTTCATGTCAAGGATGAAGATTTTTTTTTTTTTAATTTCTCTATTTGAGATATGATGGAGAACCTTTTTGCAGGGAAGAAACTAATCACCTTGCTATATCTCGCCTAGCAAATGTAAAGCTGAGGGTGTTCAAATGCAGCGAACAGCTGTGTGCTGACCTATGGCTGTCATAAGTACAATTGAAAAGGAGCTGGACTCATATGTAATACTACTTGAAATTTTTTATAAAAAAAGAAATAGAGACAAGTTCACTTCTTTAAAGCAGAAAACAGGCATGAGAATGCTGAAATTCTAGATCAGAATTCTAGATCAGTCTTTAAGTAACAGATTAAAATCAATTTTAATCGGCATGTTGCAAGGGAGTGTATTTGTTTGCTTTGGAAGGGACTGGACATAGGCAATCCCTTCTAGTTCTTTATATTGATCACCTTGTAGGGCTTAGCTGACAAAATTCTCACGACATACTGTGTTAGATGTTGTATGTAGTTTTCTGCAGCAACTACTTACCTACTGATAATAGTGAAGAGCAGAGCTGTATTGCTATAATTGTACTGAGAGGATGAGGACCCAAGTGGTATCTGCAATATTCACTAGCCAGTGTTTCTCTTTTCCTTCTGACCATCATAGGGCCATTGAAAAGGTAAAGGGACTTTTGATTCCAGTCCATTTACAAGATGTTCTAAACTAGTTGTAAGGGTAAGTAGATAATGCTTCTAATTGTAAAGGTCAGATTTTATAATCCCTTTCGTCTTTCTGTCTGAGCATTTAACACAGTATCTCTTGCAGAGAAGGAAGAAGATGCTTCAGTAATTACCATTAGCATATTCTGTGGGAAACTGAATGTAGTGATGATTCACAAGTTTATATTCACAATAAAAAAAAAAAGAAGTATGAAGCCTCCACTGACTTGCAAGGCCAGTGGAATCACTTTACTTCATATTTGTTGGGGTTATATATGTATTTAAGTGAGTTTAAACAGGGGAGTGGCAATGACCTTATAGGTGATTACAGTTTATAGCCAAATTATCTCCTGAATTACATTAACTGAAATCAATGCCTTATACTAGATGAACAGACTGTTCCATAAAACCTTGGCAGATAAAGCATTAATAAGTGTTGGAGCTGACTTGGTCAATTGGATGATTTGCTGACGCTTCTTTTTACCACAGGTCTGCAGTTTCAAGTTTAGTGCCAAAGGTTCACTACATATAGCTGAAGACAGCAAATAGATGGTCTCTTTTTGTGCAGATTTCTAACTAGCTGCCTGTTTCACAAACTCCTTGCCGTGGGAGCTTTTTCAGGAAGGAAATTTAAAACATGGTGAAGTTACAGCTACCCAATCCTGGCCTGGAGGACAGGATACCTTCCCACACAGAACTTGAGGTCCTTGAGAAAGAAGAGGCAGACTCCAGACCTAAATGGGACAACAAGGCTCAGTACATGCTGACATGTGTAGGGTTTTGTGTTGGCTTAGGAAACGTGTGGCGGTTTCCGTATCTCTGCCAGAGCCATGGAGGAGGTATGTCTTTAATTTATCTTAACTAATGCTGGGTATAAGCTAGGTTTAAATTCTGGGAAACAAATAGTGGAATACTTTGTTTAGAACAAGTCAGTTCCTACAGAGACAGTGATGGTCTTCTCTAGAAGACTGTCTGATGGAGAAGGTTGTTTCACAGGTTGTAAACTTCCAGTAAGTCACATTTGTGACAAGAGAAAAGGGACTGTTCTTATTTTGAGACATGATTGATGCAATCAGCCTTGTACTGTCATGTAAGCAGTATGTTTTCTCAGTTCAAAATTCTAATCATGATCCTAAATGATCTTTTCATAATAGGGTCTTCACTGGTTTTAGACCGATCTGTGAATTGGTTGTAGTGTCAGCGTGCAAATGATTTATGATATCAGCAGTAACAGCACAAAAGTAGTTGACTTTTTTTTAAAGTTTTTTTAAAGTTAGTGTTAAGTCATTCAAATTCTGAATATATATTGTTTACCATTTAATTTACTGTGACTTCTTAGGGTTCAAGTTAGGACTAAATGACCATATTGTAAAATTCCCTGATTTGCTGCTAGTTCTTAAAGATGACCTTAAGCTGGACCATTGCTTAAATATTATACGACAACATTCATATCACATTGTGTCTGCTTTCCCTCTCAAACAGTATTACGTGTGTAGATTTGTCTCAAACCTGATTTTTCTTTAGGGAAGCAATATGTAACTTATTTCAGATGAAAAGCTGAATACGGGCCAAATGTAGATATCTTGACCGAGAAACTCATGTTTGCATGTGTTCCCCATATCTACTGCTCTAGCAAATGATAGATGTTGGGCAACTAACAGCAATTTGCATACTGAGTCAAGCTGTCAAGTTGGAAATGATGCATACAACTATACTTCAGCACCAGGAGCTTGCCATGCTCCGGACAGTTTTCTGAAAGTCTATTCTGCCTGCTATCAACTTGGCATCTGCATTGCACTCCGGGATATGAGTAAAGTGTTTGTTCTTTTGGAGTATTTAATCCTGAAGGAAAAAGGAGCAAGTGTGTTTTAAAGATCGTATTTTGAAGTAATTTTCATTAAGCATACATAGAGAGATGTTTAAGAATTGATCTTCCTAGGTGGAGTAGGGATCAAGGAGGGCTTTGTCAAGAGTTACTGATACAAACTCAGGGGCATCTGGCTACACATTATTCAGATGACTTGCTTGCAAGAATAAATGTTTTTATTACTAAGTTTTTTTTAAACATTGACTGGTGTTTAGGGCATACAGAGTAAGGTGAAGGTCATTTGCATCATTGCCAGCTCTTGTAACAAAAAGGTTACACGTTGGACAAGAAGAGTCATAGCCCTCATTCTGTGTGTGATAGAATTACTTATGCAGTTTTTTCCAAGTTAACCCAGACAAAACACAACGGTCCTTGCAGGTTGATTAGGAAGCAGGCTAATCCAGCACCTGAGATGGTTTTTACCATATTTCAGCACTTCATTGCTGAAATATGAGGAATATGAAAAATGAGGAGAAAGGAACACCTCAGCCTGTACCAAGATTTCTCCTTATGAGTTTAAATGTTTAAATAACAGTAGCACAGTCCCCTCAGGCACTCCCATTCCTGTTTCCCAGGGATAGCTCCCAAATGCAGTAAGAGCAGGACAAGAATCTGCTACCTGAAACAGAGACTGTTGGCTGTCACACATCGTGTTTGTTGGATTTTTTGTCAGAGGGTTGTGAAAAATTGCCTTTGTTGGAGGTACATAGGAAGACAATACTATATAGATAACTCTTATTTTCAAATGTTTGTGTTTAAATACAGAATTATTTGAGGGCTGCCTCTTCCTGCGTATAAAACTATGGTCACATTTTAACTACATCCAAACATAGAAAAAGAAACTGATGCTTACATAATTTGCTTTTGTTGCTGTAGATTATAAGTTTGTATTTATAAAAATGAAGTATTTACTACAGTAAAAAAAAAAAAAAAAAAAAAAAAAAAAAAACAGTATAATAGAGCATATTCCATCTTTTTAAAAATAATTTGAGTCTTAAAATCTGTAAATACATCATTACCACCAGCAAACTAGACTTCAGTACACACATGATGTAAAAGCTGCAATGTTTGCCCCAGTGCTTTCACTCGTGTAATGAGATCAAGACTTCCTCTCATTTGATTGCTATCTGACATTACACATAGCTTTTGTTTAATCGTTATTGAGCAACATGTCATTTAATCAACTGTTAAACATTTTTGTTTCATCCCTGATGAGTATTATAAAAAAGAGGATGTATATTTAATGTTTAATCCATCAATAAAAATAAGTCTCTAGATCTACAGCTTGCGTATGTCTCTAGTAAATGTTGCCACTTTTTTATCTCCATACACGACACACTGAATGAAGTGGTGACAATGACATCAGCAGTCAATACAGGGTAGCTTCCTCTCTGGGACCTGTATTCTAACTACTACTGAGCATTCAGGATATGATAACATAAACATCTCAGTCTGAAATTTTATCTATATTCCCTTTTCTGTGAAGCCTTTTTTTTTTTTTTTCAATTTTACATTAGAAAATCTTAGATTGCACTTCTTATGAAAAAAATGCAATAGTTCTACAGATGCATAGATATGTGTTCTGTAATACAGTACTGAATCAGGATCAGAATGCAATATCTCAGCTGGAAAGTCTTCAGACTGGAAAGATTGCTCATTATTTATATACCTTTATAGCGTATTAATTACTATTATTGAGTAACTCTATGAAAGGTATACTTTTTCTTTCTGTGTATGCGCAAAGAAGGTCATGGAGTCCCTTTGCTCTCTCAAGAGCATGTCATGTTTAAAGACTTCTTTTACAACACATTAATAAAAGTACCTCTCCTATGTATCCTGAGGCCTCAGGAAATCCACTAGAAGTTGATGGAGCACTTGTGGCATGTCCTCTCACCGTAGAAGATGGCTAAATATTGAGAAACTTGGAGCAATACATCACACTGTCCACAGAGAGAGATCTTTGTGTATGGATAGTGCTATTCCTGAATCTCATTACCTCGGAAAGTGAGGTTCAGTATCTATCCAGTCTACTAGAGCTGTGTGAGTGGAGGTACACTTTGCAGTTAAGATTTGCGAGAATGGCTCAGCCACGGAAAAAAATGGAGCCAAAGACAGAATATAAATCAGCCTGCTTCCTATTTGAAAGTGAAAAATTGTTTCATAAGGAAATGCTTCTAATTCTTTATAGAGGATGGCCTGATCTTCCCTCTTTTGCTAGCAGAGGTGATAATTACAAAAATATATACTGTTCTTCTTGATAAGTATGATAAGAAACAAGTGGCCATAGGTTAAAATGACTATAGAGGCTGTTTACTTCCTTATACAACAAGATCTTTGACCAGGGTGAGAATTTCTAAGTCCTTAAAAGATCTCACTGTTGCCTGATTAAGAACAAAGATGTGTCTCTCTTAGGAGTAAAGATTATTAGGAAGTTCATCTTAAGAGAACTATGTGATGGTCCATTCTTGCAAGTTGAGATTCAAAAGGTGAAAAGGAGTGCAAATGAGGAGTATTTGGATCAGGTAACTATATAGATACTCATGGTGGTCTACAGCCCCTCGTGAGGGGAATGGAGGAGCAGCACTGAGCTCTGCTCTCTGGCGACAGCAACAAGGCCCAAGGGAATGGGACAGAGATGTGTCAGGGGAGGGCCAGGGTGGGGATTAGGGAAAGGTTCTGCACCTGAGGGCAATGGGCATGGAATAGGCTGCCCAGGGTAGCTGGCACAGCCCCAAACTACAGGAACACAAGGAGTGCTTGGACAACACTTTCAGATTTGTGGATTAACTCCCGTTTTGTCCTGTGTGTAGCTAGGAGTTGATGATTGTCCTAGATCCCTTCCAGATCAGGGCATTCTGTGATTCTGTGATCCATTGCTGAGGAAGGTCTTTAGTAGAGAAAAATGAAACTGATGTATGGTAGAAGACTATCCAGCATCCAAAATGGAAACTAATAAGGCAAGATCAAGATGGAACAGGCATACAAACTCTTGGGATTTTGGTATAAAACTGAGAGAACACTCTGGAACTGAAATTGCTGGTATAAACACAGTCATCTTGTCCTTATCTTACCCTCAGAAGAGCTCTGGGACAGAGTGAGACACGAGGGCAAGTGAGAGCCAACCTGATGTGGGATAGGAGAATATGACATGACCAGCTTTTATCTCTATACATAGATAAATAACTTGATCTCCATGAAAGGGCAGAGGTTGTGTGTGGGGAGGTTGTCCCACTGACACTCCCATGCAGAGATGAAGTCAGCAGGGTGCATAAAGATGGATCACAATGCTGAGAGAACACTTACCACACACACTGCATAAGTCCTACTATCTGTGAAAGCAAGAATGAAACAGTTGGGAGAAGTTACTTACAGGAATAGGGTGGAGTATCAGTAGAGTACAAACTCTCCAGAGCCAAATCTGCAAGCACTGCATGCCTTATCAGATTAAGAGGGGCCCTTAAGTGCATATCAGATCACGTTCCAGCACAGCTAAGCAAGTCTATAAAGACAAAATGGGACAGCTAATTAACTCTTTTGCATTGTTAGCAGTGGTTCTGGGTAGCAGGAGTTCAGTTTCCCCAAGTCTAAGCTGGACCACCACCCTTCATTCCTTTCTGGTGTTAGAATTGTCCTGATCTTCCTCTAAAGTGAGAAAGTAACAGTCTGGGGCACCTCGATATAACTTGTAGCTGCAAGGCTCTTGATCTTGCAAGGACTACCTGGTCTCTGGAAAAGGGAAAAGAAGCTAAGACATGCAAAGTGCGGAAGAAAACAAATGGAATACTGTTCTCCTCATGATGATGCCTACATACTGCATCTACCAAATCAACAGTGACACAGAAGAAACTGAGAAAGAGTCAGTAGAGCTGGAAGTTTAGCAAACTTCCTTACAAATATCAGTTCATTTTTTTCACTAACAAAAAACATGCCACAATTTAGTTACTCTCTTAGCTCTCTTTTGAGATCTTTTCAGTCTGTTAGTCTTGCTTTTACAGTGATGTCGAATGAGCTACAGTGATTTTGAATAGTTTTTAGGTTTTTTCAGTAAGAAGTTTTTGTGTTGCTAAATGAAATGCTCTAAAGAAGTCTGAGAAAATTGTGTCTGTGCAATTACTTTTTGAATCTAGATTCAACAAAAACATATTTTCTAATGCATCAGTGGTTAGTCATTCAACTTGAGGAGTGGCATGTACATTTTCAAAGTGCTCAGCATTCTGAATAGCATTTTATGCATTTAAATGTCAGTATCAACAGTGATTACCAAATCTTTAAAATGTAAATCAAAAATAGGTGAACAACTAGAATTGTTTGAATTCCATAAGAGTAGAAAGAAAAGGAGCATAGTTGGCTAATTTCACTGTAATAGTGACCACTTGAAACAGTAATGTTGATTTTAGCAGATTTCATTTAAGCCCATAGAAAATTTTAATACAGATTATTTCTAAAACTCTTGTGTGTATGCCATTATAAAGATATACAGTGAAGCAGTTGAACACATACTATACATCTTCCAAAAATATTCAATTGCCTTGGATTAAAAACTGTAGTTCCCATTCTTAAAATTTTCTCCATCACTTTCTATACATTTTTCATTGCATACATAAGGAAAAAGTCAAAAGGTACCCAAACATGAGCAGCTCATATGGCGTTCTGCATTTTTTTTGTTCATGTTCTTGTATTATTTACCATCTGTGGTTAGGAAGCAGATGATAGTTTGTAATGACAATTAGCTATAACTCTACTAAGTCACAGTTTTCGAGCATTTGCCTCTGCACTTTGGTATCGTGTGGTGTTTTATGTTATCACCATATCTCTGGTGCACTTTATTAAGAAAAAAAATGAACAAGGATTAAATCCTGAGCTTCAGATCTCTCCTACTAAAACATAACAGGTGTTTTACACAGTTTTCAGGAAGAGTTATTGGCCATTTTATGAAGACAATCTTACTGGGGCTGGCACCTTGCTCCATGCTCCTGCCTAATCATTCTTAGCTCATTCAACAACTACTTATAATTTGGATGATTCACAGTTATAAAACCATAACTTTTACAGAAAAAAAAAATGAAAGTCATTCCAGGAAAGTAATAGTCTTGCCTCCATTGCCAATCCAAAGGTGGCTCCTTCAGAGTTTAATCTCAGAAGTGAATAATTTAGGTGTATGTTTGCCACTTGGGAAGAATAGAATTCCTACCTAAAACCACACACATAATTAGGTTCCTGCTTGCACATTATTCAAAGGCACTGCAGATAAATCAGAGAAAGGTTTCCACAACTCACTGTGCTCGAAAACCCAGAAGAACTGAAGTTCATGCTTTATTGTTGCATGTCAGTGACAGGAAGCTTTTTTTTCCTTGTCCATTACAGGAGCCTTCATGATCCCTTTCCTGATTTTGTTGATTCTGGAGGGTATCCCCCTGCTTCATCTCGAGTTTGCCATTGGTCAAAGGCTCAGGAAAGGCAGTGTGGGAGTCTGGAGTTCCATTCACCCTACCCTGAAAGGTGTTGGTAAGTCTGATGAGGATAAAAAGCCACATAATAAAGCACTAGAACTAAGAACAAAGCTTCAGACTTTTCTTTTGGTGTGCCATATTCTGGTTGAACCAGATGGTCTCCAGAGGAACTTTCCAGCCTGGGCCATGACACTCTGTGATTCTGTGATCACACACTTGAAAGGGATAGAGACAGTTAAGATCACTGATGCAACAACTGTGTCTGTTAATCAATTACAAAAAATATTGCATGTGGAATTTTTCAAAATTCTTCAGAACTTAATTGCTCTCAGGACCTAATCATTAGCATTTACTCTCTCACAGAGAAGTCACCACAGGTTACTTGGGAGCAAGTGGAGAAGGAGAGATACTAACTTGATTCCTACAGCTTTTCACAGACTGTGCCTCCTGGCAGCCAAACATCCCATAAAAATAAGATTAGTCACACACCTCTGCCTATCTCTGTGGTGAAATTCTGGAGGAAAAAGACAATCTGGGTCACATTTAGGAAAAATTCAGTTGATCTGTACATATACTTAGCTTCTCAGATTTCCTAGGTATCAGAAGGCAAAACTGTGAATAGGAACTGTCCTCACTGGTGGGAGTTAAGCTGCCCATAAACTTGGCTCCTAACTTCTGTTATTTTTCAGGCATAGCAGCAATGTGTGTATCTTTCCTGGTGAGTTTATATTACAATACTATCATTGCCTGGGTAATGTGGTATTTCTTCAACTCCTTCCAAGAGCCCCTGCCTTGGAGTACCTGTCCTCTCACTAACAACAGAACAGGTATGTTCTATGAAATGTTGCATTTTGTTTCATAGCATTTATTTGTTTGTAGCAACTAGAATAAATAGGGCTTTTTCTGTAAGACAACAGTAAGACAGGGCAATAATGTCAGGAATATTAGACTATTTTAATATTTGTGTTCTGTAAAAATGCACACTATTTAAAGATCAATACTTAATCTTTAAGGCCAGCATGGATGCTTTATATGAGACTTTGAAGCTGAAGTCACTGGAAAGATTTTGACAGACGTATTTACATTCAGAATATTTGCAAAGTGCAAGTTTAGCATAAGCATTAACATTTTTCAGATTTAAACATGGTCCTTCGTAACTAACATCTGCCAGCCTGATTGAAACTCTGCTGAATAGTATTTCCATGTTTCTTTCAGCAGTTACCAGTGCTAATATTAAGTCGCAGAAATACTGTGAAATGGCAAAGTAACTTCATTAATAATTTAGATTTACAAAAAAAAAAAAAAAAAAAGCTAATTATATTTTGAAACTTCAATCTGTAACCAGGAGTTAAATGGATAATTTGTTTTCCATACTGATTTAAAATGGTGCTAAGAGTTTCAAAGCAATCTGGAAGTTATGAGTCAGTGATACTATAGTCAGCTTTGAGCTTCTCACCTAAACAGAAATGTAAATCATTGATAAAAATGTGAGAGGAAATATAAAAGGTTTTGTCTATACCAGTGAGAGATGCCAGACAGCACCTTTCATGTACACAATGCAAAAATCAATATCAGTCCCTGTTTCTGCTCTTCCATTTCTTCACCAAAAACCCTTTGATAGCACACTGAAAAGAAAAAGAAATGAAGAAGAAAACATACGCACGATCTTCATTAAATATCATTATATCTTGGTATGAGAGCAACTTTGTTGTTCACAACCAGCCCTGCACAAGATTGCATGGAGCAATGGAGCAGGTTGTTGCCATGGATCAGCGAGCAGCTCTTTAGGGCTGCACTCCCCTCCTCCAGCATCATGCAAGGGCAGGGCAAGGCAGAGTATTGCACGGCTCAGTGTCTTGCAGGCAACTGGAAGTCCAGCTTAGAATCATAGGATCATAGAATATCCCAAGTTGAAAGGGATGCATAAGGATCATGGAATTCAACTCCTGGACTCCAACGAGCTGACAAGTCCTTAAATGATGCAGAAAGATGAAGTATTGCTGACTGGTGGGAGGGGAAGAGCCCTCAGGCTGCAGGAGGTTGTAGGCAGTAAAGCCCAGGCTTTACCAGGCAAGACACAGCAGGGTGTACATTGAAAGCTCAAAGCAGTTCTTTGGTTTGTTTTTTTCTGGTTGGTTTTGGTGTTCTTTTAGATGAAGTGTGAAAAGTGCACACACAATCATTATAAAGGCCCTCCTAGCTACTTTTCTTCTATATAAAAAAAATAATCCATTCAGTATAGATGCATGTATGCTCAGAAGTCCCCTACATATTTTCCTTGGCACAAGGGGATTCTAACTGTATTTGTAAGAAGAAAGAAAAAGCATATAGAAGGAAGAATCTTTGAAAGAGCTTCAAAGAATGGTTGAATTAGCCATGGATCAATCCTCTTACTTTAACTAACAGAAATAACAAGGACAACTGTATCCCTGGTAAATAATACTCTTTTTGAAAATGCTGTTCAGCAATGAAATCTTCCAACAACAAATTAGTTGACTTTACATAGTATAATTTTGAACACTGGTGTTTATTGTTTAACCTGCAGAATGACCGTAATGTTGTGGTTACAGATTACATAGAAGAATGTGCCAAGAGCTCTCCCGTGGATTATTTCTGGTACAGAGAAACATTAAACACCTCCACTTCTATTGAAGATTCAGGCACTATACAGTGGTGGCTTCTGTTATGCTTAACATGTGCATGGGGCATACTGTATGTGTGCACAATCAGAGGCATTGAAACAACAGGAAAGGTACTCCATTTTGTTTTATGTGAAACAGATGACTTTCATTATGCTGTCGTGAGACCTTATTCACATGGATCTAAACATAGTGTAGAAACTGCCTGTTTCTTGAATGAATGCATGTCTAAAACTTCAGGTGTCATCATAGGGTGTGTTTTTTGAAGGAGGAAACTGAATGAGATGGAAATTGATCTGATTTAACCTGATTTTATTGATGTGGACATCGGCTTGAGCAGTTCAGCTTTCTTGTCCGTAGAGACTCTAGAATAACAGTCTTTAAGTATCACCACCTTAATGTTAATGTTAGCAGGATTGAGGCACTTGCCTTTTGCTGACCGTTTTCTTCAGAACATATCTGTACAACTTTACTTGGGTGTGTGCCAGTCCTTGACATCATCTGTGCAAGTAAATACTATTCTGAGACGCCCTCAGATAAGTGTTTCATTCTATCTAAGTGTTTTATTTACATACTCCTTGTGCAGGCCGTGTATATAACATCGACTCTTCCATACCTTGTGCTTACCATTTTTCTAATCCGTGGCTTGACACTGAAAGGATCAGTCAATGGAATTGTGTTTCTCTTCACTCCAAACGTAAGTCACTGCTTAGTCCATGCCTTATCGAAACACGATGGAGTTCTCTCTGTAATTAATAACTGAGAGAAAATGAATCCCCTCTGGTCGTGCCTTTCTGGCTGACCCTCAGGCATCTTAAAAAGCTTTGATTCTGAGAGGTGAATCTTTCTTTGCATCAGATGTAAAACACACACAGACACATGTATATCTCTCCCTATCTCCTCCATCAAAACCTGTTACAAGAAATGGAAAGATCATTGCAGAGAGATGTAAGGGAGCTGTTTGAAGAGAGCTTGCTTTCTTTTCCAGGGATGCCTTGTATTCTAGCTAAGGGTGAGTCTAGACTGAAAGCACAAATCACATTGCTGGGAGGAAAACCATCTAATTGGATAGCTGTACAAAAGACCTACTAGGATGGTTTAACTGTGCAACAGATTTTAAACAAAATTTAAAAGGATTTTCATTTTCCGTGAGCAGACCTCTGAGTGGTCACTAATGACTTTTCTGGAAATGGGCATGGCAGCTGTCAGCTACTTACTAGAAAGTAAATTGTTTATCAGTTTTCAAAATACTTGTAGAAAACCTGCAGATAGGCTTGCATTTGAGAAAACAAACAAACAAAAAAGTTTGACAAAAGAACAGACAATTTTTACACACTTCAAAAATTTAAGTACTGCATGTCTGACATTCTTGTTGTTTTAAATTCCTCATATTCAGCCTAACTAGAAATGTTACATAGACTGTATGTCTGATGCCCCAGGTTACTGAGCTGGCTAACCCAGTGACGTGGCTGGATGCGGGTGCGCAGGTGTTTTACTCTTTCTCCCTGGCCTTTGGAGGCCTCATTTCATTCTCCAGTTACAACCCTGTTCAGTAAGTATTCAGGCAAAAGCCATTTTTTACATGAATATTTAATTCTTTCAAAAGAAGCCTATCCATTTCTGCCCTCCTATTACACAGTAATTATGAGACTGGGACACCATCCTGTCTGCCAGGTAAGGCACAACTTGTCCTGCTGATCCTGCTCTCAGGAGCCAAAGATTCCAGGTCCAAGGGCTGCCTGACTTCTTACAGAACAACAGTGTGGATCATGCTAGAAAGCAGGGAGTGGCTACCTGCCACAAGCCGGGAGCATGGCTTTGCTATTCCTCTTCACACAGCTGGAGCCAGCTACTGTTACATGCATTTCAAAGCAGTTCACAGACCACAGCTGTAATCTTTTGTTTAGGGATTAGAAGATGTATTTAGGAATTTTAAAATTCAGATTCAGTTGCTTCCTTTACACATGAGATGGGGCCAAGAAAGAGATGGAGTACAAACACTCTTCACCCGGGGACTAACGCAACCAGCAAATTATGATGCAGTGCTTCATTCTGCCTCCTAAAATATTGGAGCAGCCATTAATGTTTCTTAGTGCCTGTCATCCCTCCATCATTGTCTTTCTGAAAGGCAAACTGTGTGGCATTCTCTGAGCCCAACATTAGTGACAAATACCTCCAAATTAAGTTTTAAATACTCACCATACCACAGTTTAGTGGAAGCTTTTGTTTGCTTTTTACTCTTGGCTGACCCAAATCTTTCACCTTGCAGCAGAATACTCTACCTGCTTCCTATAATAATGTGTGCATGCATACATGCATGTGAGGCACAAATGCAACTGGTTTGCTCGCATTTGTGTCGAGGAGGAGCCTGAACATCTCACCTCTGAAAGAAAGAAATATGTTATATAAGCCTGTCTCACAATACAGTGAAAAAAATGACGGCAGAAATGACAAAGAACTTCAATCCAATGCCCTCAACCCCTTACAGACCTTCTTGCATTGCTATGAATCAGGAAAGATCACAAGTCTTTGCTGGCTTTCCTCACCTCTCGAAGGTGATCATAAAATTAAATATGACAACATCAGATTAATCCCAATAGCCCTGCCTTGTCCAAGAGAAATACAATTACTAGAGTTTTACAGCCTTCTAATAAAACCATTAACTAATTTCATATTGATTCTTTACCTACCCTCTCAGATGAAAGTCTATTCCTAGCTATGCAGATTTTCCATCTCAGCACAGACAAGAGGAGAAATGTCTGTAGCAGAAAAGTCTCTACAAAGCAATTTAGCTTTCTCAGCAGAATAAATTACCTCTCCCACTTTCTCAGCCTACCATTCCCATAGTATTTCCAAAGTTTGGAGACATTTTGAGCCATCTTGCATCCAACAGTCAAACAAAGCTCTTCTGAAATACTGTTGGCTACTATATCTTCACCATACCACAGTTTAGTGGAAGCTTTTTCCTCTTGGCTGATTTCAAACCCAAATCTTTCACCTTGCAGCAGAATACTCTACCTGCATCCTACAATATGTGCATGTATACATGCAAGGCACAAAGATGAGAAGACATACATTTTTGCTACTCCTGTTCCACTTAGAAAAAACAGAAGCAATTATTCCTTATGCATAGGGTTATTTGGGGGGGGGGGAGGGGAGAAAAAAGAAAAGCAGAGCTATTAGTTTGCTTAAGGCACTGAGTTTGAATTCACTAAATCTATCTTTAGCAGCTGCACTAAAGTTACCTTAGAGCCCACACTGATGTACATAAGCATCTGTAAGCTACTTTTTTTGTTCGTCTTGGTAACCACTTTTGGTGATGTGTTTGAAATCCATTGTCTCTTCTCTCTGAATTGCAGCAATAACTGTGAGAAAGACGCTGTGATTATCTCCGTGATCAATGGTTTCACATCCATCTATGCAGCGACTGTCATATACTCCATCATTGGATTCAGAGCCACAGAAAGATACGATGACTGTTTCGACAAGTAAGTTATTGAAAAAGAGAATATCCAGATGTTTGTTCAGCTGAGGCACTTCTCTTAGCCTGACAATAACGCCTCCACCATTTCTGAATAATTACAGCTCACAAACACGTGCTTTTGGACCACCCACTACTCCAAAAAAAAAAACACAAAAGAACTTCACAGGGAGTGATAATTGTATGAGCTACTTTATTTCCTACATAGATGTTGTATAAGCAACCACATTTTACATTATTCCTTGGTGTTTCCAAAAGTAACAGGGAGGGACATTCTGTATTTGAATGCTGGTGGCATTTTTCCCTGAAACACTTGAGATATAACTGCAGTTAATGTGAATATCTGCCAACATCAAGGCATATTCAGTTCATGACATATTTTTTTCATCAGAACATACTATAATGCCTATACTTTTAGAGTGAAATGAAATAATGCTGAGAAATGGCCACATCTGGACTACAGTGTAGGCACTTAATTACTGCTAGTGACTCTGCATGCTACACAATTACCCAGAGCTAGAGTAACTAATCTTCCCATTTTACTTCATTTAATCTTTATCAAACACAGAAAAATAGTGTAGCAACTTTACTAAAAATTGCAGAATTCAGAATTATCACTGCCAGCTGAGCAAATGCATGGCACAGATGCAATATAACCTTAGTCAGCTCCACATTTACTCTGCTTCTTACAGAGGTACCTAATTTCAGTGGAGAAACTCAGACTCCTTTCTCACATGGGCTGCCAGGTCTCACAGGTTCCAGTTAGTTCCTCCATACCCAGCTGGGAAAGTTCATGATGTGCATCTGCAAGCACCCGACACAACCCCAATAGCCTCCTGGGCTAAACAGCTAAGCACGTCCATTTGCAGTGCAAAGAGGAATACCCAGCTATTGTAGGGTGCCTCAAAGTGTCTGATCCCTTCAGCTGTGATCTGGGTCCTGAAAGACATCACTGGGCTCACATGGGAAAAAGAAAGAATTTCACTTGTGTGAAACCATGGACTTCCCAATTTCCTAATCTGATCCTGAGCGGCAAAAGCTTGGATTCCTTGAACCGTCTTTATGAAAGACATTGTGCTATTAATAACTTAAGGATGAAAATGAATTCTGAGGGTGTTACAAATAAGCAATTTCAAAATACCTGTATCTCACTTTTACAGAAATATTCTTACCTTGATGAATGCATTTGATTTGCCAGAGGGCAATGTAACCCAAGATAACTTTGAGCAAATGCAGCAGCTGTGCAACATGACCGATCCTGTCACTTTTGCAAGCCTTAATTTTGAAACCTGTGATCTGAAAAGTTTATTAAGTGAGGTAAGTTTTACACCATATCTCATACCAATACCATTTATATTGCAAAAACTGTAGCAATGTTTTTACTTTTAATCAATTAGCATTTTTCATTATGAGTGTGGGTGAGTTTTTTGGCATTGTATTTTTTCTTTCGTTAATTATATTTCTACTGACTGTGGTTTCCTTGGAATGCTCTTGGGCTAAAAGTTTACTTCAGTTTATTCCAAAGAATATTGTTTTGCTTTTAAAGAGAAAGGCATTTTAAAAGCAGTTCAAATCCTCTGAAAAGTCCTTTCAAATATGGCCTGGTGTAGCTGCCTGCTGCTGTTTTGACATTTGTATACAGCTACCTGGCTGCAGCCGTGGTGGCAGTTTCTGGCACATGTGATGTACAAACAGCTTTCCCACTGGTCATAAAAGCTTCTTCTGGCTTCTATCATCCTTTGATGAACAGTTCATTATTGCTACCACTTTCCACCACAGTCTCACTTCGTGGTAGTGCTTTATGGATGGCAGAACTATGCTAGGATAAACAGGTAATCAAGGCTAAATTGGAATTATAGAATCATAGAATGGTTTGGGCTGAAAGAGACCTCAAAGCCCACCCAGTTCAACCCCTGCCATGGGCAGGGCTGCCCCCCGCCAGCTCAGCTGCCCAGGGCCCCATCCAACCTGGCCTTGAGTGCCTCCAGGGATGGGGCACCACAGCTTCTTTGCATTGGAAATGGAATCATACAGCTTTTTGTTTTCCAGTTCCATGAAATAGGATTTGTATTATAATTACAGTGAATACATTGCTGCACTTGGAGGTCTTTGTGAAAAAAAGAAAGTATAATTATTGTTGCATGCTGTAGCATAAACAAACTCCAGTGAATACAGATGTTAATTTAAAGGCTGTGTGATGTTAATGAAATTAATTTTTGGAGTTTCTGAAATCTTACACAGGGAGTTGAAGGAACCGGCTTAGCCTTTATTGTCTTCACTGAAGCTATCACCAAGATGCCTATCTCACCTCTGTGGTCCATTCTCTTCTTCATCATGCTCTTCTGCCTGGGCTTGTCATCTATGTTTGGAAATATAGAAGGTGTGCTTGTACCTTTACAAGATCTTAAAATTGTACCCCCTAAATGGCCTAAGGAACTCATTACAGGTAAGTGCTTTATCAGAGACAAGTGATCTCCACCCCCCTCAATTAACAACTGATATGCTAAAAAATGCAGTGTTACCCAAACAGAATTATGGGCAAGTTTCTCCTAAAATTGATAAACAATTTGTGCTGTATGTATATATATATGTATATACTTATATATATAAAGATACACATATATACACAGAAAAGTTTCAGTGAGGCTTTATTCAGGCTAGAATTGAGTACTAACCAAAAATGGAAACAAAGAGCCTTCCCTGTAGTCCTTGAATCATAAAGCAAGGCTATGTGAGGAATCTTCTGGAATGGAAGATATTATGAGCTTGTGCACTTTGTGTTGGATACCCAGAAAATGCCCTGCTTCTGCTCAAGGGGATGTGCCTCAATTCTCTACCAGACCTGTTCTCAGTTGCCTAGCAGGCACTTTTCCTCTGGAAGCCTTCCAGAAAGTGAAGCCTTCCACAGCAGCAGTGGCTGCCCTACTCACCTGGACATGGCCACAATGTTCTGATACAAGCAACTCCTCAGCATGCACAAGGAACCCAGAAATCCACTCACTTTCACTAGTTTTTGGTTGATTCTTTGGTTACTTTTGGTTTTGTGTCTAAATGTACTGCTGTTTTGCATTCTGTTTTTCACAGGTATCACCTGCGCAGGGTCTTACTTGATAGCTTTCATTTTTGTCCTGAGGTCCGGCAATTACTGGCTTGCTCTGTTCGACAGTTTTGCTGGCTCCATTCCTTTGCTAATAATTGCCTTCTGTGAGATGTTTTCAGTTGTCTACATTTATGGAATAGACAGGTATGAAACACAACTTAAACATCACTAGACAGTAGTGTTTATATTGAGTAGTTGTATAACTGCAGTCCTGCTGTAACACAGTGCACATCATTTCTGTTATAGAAGACACTAGAATTATGCAACTGTAGTTTAGGGTGGCTTATATGATCTAGGTTTCTAAAAAACTTCTCAGCAAGAAGAAATGATGCTTTGTTAGGGATCTGGTGGGGATTTTTGTTTGTATATGAAAGATTTAAACTCTTTCTATGCACTGTGACAGATAATCCTCTGTAACAACCAGCTAAAATAAATACATTCCTAAAATGCTAGAAGAGAATATCAAGCATTACCAAGTGCCCCAGAGTGCATAAATGCCACTGTAACTCATTAATGTTGTAAATATGGCAACACTTACAGCAAACCTTCATCAGAAGAACTGCATAAAATATTTCATTAGCAGAAGCAAAGCACAAGCACACTGGCACTGAGCTTAAAGCTTAAAACACAGGTATATTCTAGGATTGTTTAAAGCAAATGCCAGATGTTACTGCCCAAAGCAGGCATCCCCATGCAGATCATAGATACTGCTTTACAACAGGATTCAAGTCCAAGGCTACTGGGATATGTTCCTGTTAGACTCAAGACCTTATCAATTCCAGCAGCAAGTAATTATCCTAGCAACTTTTTAGAGACTTAGAAAGTTCAATTGCTCCATCTGCCCATTCATAATTAATACATAAGAAATAAATACATAAAAAAAGTGTGAGGCCTTCAATTACTCATAGGTTTTGCTCAAATCTGTATCAGCCCAAGCTGTGCTGCTCCTAGTGATGGGCAAAGGACCTCTGGCCCATGTTCCCACACTGAGACTTTAATGCTGCATGAGGAGGTGAGAGTCTGCTTAGATAAATTAGCTCCCTGTCTCAGCTCCTCATCACCATGTCCCACACACACTGGTGGGCTCTCTGGCCTCCAAAGCCCTGGGTCTCCCACAAGTTGTGGTCGTGCCTTGGCATCAGCTGTGCAGAATGCTCCATCTGCATACCTCAGAGCTGGCAGGCAAGACAGAGCGCTCTTCACAGAGGGACAGAGGGCATTCATTCAGGGAAAGGAAGAAAGTGAATCCAAATCTGGATCTGAAAATTCTGTTCAGGAATGCTGGTTAGATCCAAACAAAAACGCAAGCTTCTTTAGCTTTGTTGGCTAATTTGGCTTTCGTGTGTGGCTGCAGGGGACCATGTGTGCCTAGCTAGGGAAGGTAAAGGAATAATAGAGGCCTCAAACTGCCAAACTAGTTTTTATTTAATAGTGTGTGCACATAGCACTGCCTTACATGTGGGGGTCATAAACAGGGTTCAGGATTGTGCTGACAACATCACCTGCAATACAGGGATGGACTCTTCTTCTAAGGACATATTTGCTCCATTTTCTACTGTATGCTCTATGCTTAACCTGACTGACATATTTCTAGGTGCCCTTAATGAGCAAGTATAAAGTTAAATACCACTAAAACCAGGAAAACCGATACAAATCCAAATTAAGCAAGCATTATCCATAGAATGTAATTTTAAAAATTATTCCAACTTGCTTCTTTGGTGTACTGTGTCTTTCCTTTTAATCAATGCAGCTCTGAGATGCTTAGTAAAAAAAAACCAACCCTGAAACAACTACCTGAAACTCCACCTACACTAACTCTCTTGTTCTGAAACTATTTCATATATGCTTCACAGAACTCTTGAAGAAAGTACCTTTCCGAAAATAATTTTCCTACCTTACTTTCGGGAAGTATGAATTAGAAACTTATAATTACAGTAATCTTTGCCTAAATTCAGACTGTGTGGGTCTATCTTCAGGTGTCAGTGTGTCAGTCCTCCACTCACATGGACATCAGCAAAGTATGGGGAAGCATGGTTGAGTGTCACTTGAACTCTCCTGCTTCTGGGCCTGCTTTTGATCCTTTCCCATTTTATTGTCCTGAAGTTCCTGTTTTTGCTCCTAGGTTTAACAAGGATATTGAGTTCATGATTGGACACAAGCCCAATATATTCTGGCAGGTAACCTGGAGAGTTATCAGTCCTCTCATTATGTTAGTTATCTTCTTATTTTATTTCGTGGTGAAAGTCAATGAAGAACTGCTCTACAGTGTTTGGAACCCTAAATATGTAAGTATAAAAAACCAAAATATTTATTTAGAATTACTTGACATCTCTTTCTTCAATGTAAGAGTCATAGTCAGATATATTCATCCTCCATCTCAAATAAGTTTCAGATTAGAAAAAAAAAAAAGTTAAAAATACAAAAATGATAATAAAAGAGTAGCACTTCAAAAAATAGGTCCTAAATTCAGCTTTAATGAAGTGGACAAAACCCTCAACCATTAATCCAATTTTGAGTGGGGCCTCAAAAGGACCACTTCAACAGATGTCTGTTTCATGGTAGGGAGTATAAAGGAGCTGAAAACATCATGAATTTTCTATGTTGGCAAAAGACCATGTCTGTGAAAGCATTTTGGTATTGCTTACTTTGTGCATGTAGAAGCACAGAACGGCAACGGTGCTGGTTACTCATCACTGACAGAAGAAATTAATATTCTCCTAACCACTTTTCTTCTTTCCTCTTCTAAATATACTTGCATCATTTAAATTATAGCACTAAATCACCTACTCTTCCTTTCTTCCTCTTGAAGAACAATAAGCTGTATGTGGTACCAGGACAACAGAATAAAAACAAAGATGAGGGGTCCATCATTTTCCACAGGACTTCATCTCTTGTCCAGCCTTATGAAATTGGAAACTGCTCTTTAATCAGCATATCCTGTGCCCTTTTGGCTAACTGCTGCTGCAGTTCTGTTTCTCTTTGTTAAAAAACTGAATGCATACATTTTCATGTATTTGCTCCTCTCACTTCGTATAACTTATTTCATTCTTTCAGGAAGAATTCCCAAAACCACAGAAGATTGGATATCCTGGCTGGGTCTATGCTATTATTGTAATCATCGCTGGTGTGCCTAGTTTGATCATCCCTGCCTTTGCCATCTACAAAGCCATCAGAAATTGCTGTCAGAAGAGAAGTGATCATACAGGCCTTATAAGCTCAATATCTGAGACGTCTGTTAATGGCAACTTAAAGAATTCAGCATAAAAGCATGTAAAAATGTGGAAGAATGCCTTGCTAAGAAAGCCAAAAGATTTTCTTCAAAGAATTCAGAATCAAATTTATTGCCATAAAAGGATAACCATGTGTTGTTTCTAAGTAAGCATTTGCTTACTTAGGAATGCAGTGTACAGTGAAGAAGTAATAGCTTGGATCCTGGGAGCCACATTTGCAAAACAGGCCAAATAATTTCTCCTGCTTCTGGTTTTGAAGCCAGTTTGTTTGAAACTGGCTTGGAGGACTCTGTCTGGGGATGCACTGTGCTTGGCAAGCCTTAAGTGACTCTTCCCTATCCAAACATTCTGGTTGGGTGATCAATCTGGAGGGTAATTTATACTGACTTCTATTGCACGTTAAATTGTTTTTACTTTACATGCCACTGTGTTGCACAAAGCCACCAATATTATATCTCATTCAGAAGTTAAAAATATTTAATAAAAATGTTTTTAAGAACTAGACAGATTGATTCATGTATAATTCTGGATATTTTATTATTCTCCTGTCTAAGTTCCTAGCAGCCTCAAGTAGCACCACAGGAGGTTTATATTGGACATTAGGAAGAATCTCTTCCCAGAGAGAGAGAGAGATCAGTCATTGGACAGGGCTGTCCAGGGAGGTGATGAAGTCCCTGCCCCTGAAGGTATTTAAAAGACATGTGGACATGACACTAAGGGACGAGGTTTAGTGATGGGACTCAGTAGGTCAGGCTTTTGGTTGTACTTGGTTATCTTGAAGGTCTCTTCCAAACTAGATGACTGTATGATTCTCTGGTTCTATGATATCTACTCTGGAGGTTATTTTTAGACTATATCTACACCAAATAAGACAGTGAAGTACCAGGCAATATATTTATTTGCATTTCAACTTTAAAAAAAATATTCTTTGAATATTAAAAAATATGAATATTTCTGAACAATAATAATCTGAATAATAATAACTGAAAGATAACTACAGCAAGAGCGGGGTTGGTCCCTTCTCACTGGTGACAGGATGAGGAATGGCCTCAAGTTGTGCCAGGGTAAGTTTAGGTTGGATATCGGGAAAAACTTCTTTACAGAAAGGGTTGTTAAGCACTGGAATGGGCTCCCCGGGGAGGTGGTTGAGTCACCATCCCTGGAGTGCCTAAAAACTGTTTGGATGTGGTGCTCAGGGACATGGTTTAGTGGAGGGTTGTTAGAGTTAGGGTAGTATGGTTAGGTTGTGGTTGGACTCGATGATCTTTAAGGTCTTTTCCAACCTGAACAATTCTATGATTCTGTGAATATATTTAAAATCTTTCAAGTTGCTATTCTGTAATAGGAAAGGCAATCTTTGTCAGATTTTCCTACTGAGAATGGACAAAGCTGAGTCTGAAGCAGCTGCAGGGGGTAGGGATGGAGGTGCTGCCAGACTCTCTGGTTTGGAGCACAGCAGCAGTGGTGGGGGAGGGTGGTGGGTGCTGTGGCTAATTTCTGTGATGTGGATTGTAAAGGTGTGAAGTGTGAAACAGCAAAACCTTGGTATTTTGGAAAGAGAACATTAAAGTTTTTCTCACAGGCTTTCAATTGAAGGCACGCGCTCAGCTGTTACATTCCTCAGTAACTATTTAATGAAAAATAAAAATAGTCACTTGGGATTCATTGACAGGTGGGAAGTGATTAACCTCAGGCAGTTATGGTGAGAACAGACAGGATTTTGATGTCTGAACATATGTGGTCTTGTCTAGAGAACAGTCCCATCCTGGGTTTGCTTAGGAACAAATGTTGGAGGGATCCTCAAAGAGTCCCAGCCATACTGTGTTGTACCTTTCAAATAATTTATGTCAGTCACAGGTACGTGTGTGGATGTTCAGAGGGAAAAGCAATATGGAGGACAGCAGTCTGTGCAGCAGAAGCTGTGTGGCTGCAGCTGGTCCGTGTGTCCCAATGGAAGATCTTGGAATGGGCAAAAAGCTACTGCAAGTACAGCTATGAAAACACACCTTTATCAGGTTCTATTTGAGGTCTCAGTATAACAACAACAGGTAAATCCAATTAATACTTAGTAAAAAAAAAAAAAAAAATCACTTTTTGTACTTACCAAAGATGTCTTCAGTCACTCAGCTAACAAAGAAAGAAAAAGTCAATGCTTCCTTAATTCACAGATCTACACATCTTATAATGTTAATGTCTTATTGCTGTAAAAGTTTCTTTTTAATTATATTCAGCGTCACACTTCTTTGATGGTATCTGAGAACAGAAGGAGAACAGAAAATAAAAATCTGTTTGATCCCAAGTTACCCATTAACAACATATTCCTAAGTTCCCTAACTATAGAAGGAACTGCAAAACATCAAGAGTGGTCATTCTGTCTATATAATAATAATTCCTGGTTTGGTATTTAAACTGTGGCACTTCCAATGACACATTCCTTTGCATTACATAAAAACAAAGCACCGCCTCTTTTTGGAGAAACCCTTCTGTCATCCCCCATAAAACCTGCAGCAGAGACACGTTTTGAAGAATCTTCCCATTTATAGGGATAGGGACTAGAAAGACAAGGCTACTTCATACTAGAAGATTTACCAATGGACATGCCACCTGAAGTCCCTAAAGAAGATGGCAGACCAAAGTGGGATAACAAGTTCCAGTATATCTTAAGTTGTATTGGATTTGCTGTCGGCTTGGGGAACGTGTGGCGGTTTCCATACTTGTGCCAGATACACGGAGGCGGTAAGGTTGAAATGGGACTTTGCCAAAATATTAAGCCACGATTCCAATATAATTGTGCTAACTTATGATGGGCATGGAACTTATATATTTGCATCACCTTCTTTTTAGCTATTGAGTTCTCAAATTCTCATAAATGTTTGGCTTTCTCTTTAGATTGGCTGTGTCTGTAGAAATACATTTCATTTTTAAAGGATCTGTTTGTTTAGGAAGTAAGACCAACTTGTTGCTCAGCTCTGACACTGCTGCTACAGTCCTGATGGGAGGAGGAAGCTCACTTGCAGCTTGCTACCTTTAGGAGAAGCCAGAAGTCCTGATAAGGCTTTAGTGAGGCAGTTCCCCAAACAGTTGGCTGTGGTGCTTCGCCAGGAAAACAAGTCACTCCTCTCCCTTCTCTGCCACCTTCAGGAGGTAACCCACAAGCCATGGCTGAGTGAAGCTAAATGGCACTTTTTGATGGTGTGAAGCTGCCTGAAATGCTTGGCTGATTTAACACAAGCAAGCTGATGCTGACACCTGCCCAAGCTTTTCTGTGGGCACCATTCCCATGAAGAATTGCTTTAGAAGCAGCCAATTTAGTAAATACAAACGGATCAGAAATAGTAACCAATTGCTCGCTCCTTACAGCAGCTTTTGAGAGGTACCATGGTAACTTGTCTCAAGCAGAGTGATGTAGCAAATTCTTCTAGCCCAGTTTTATTTGTTATCTTTCAATTTACGGGATAAGTACAAAATTCAAACTGGGAGAAACAGGCAAATGGCAGGAAAAAAATGATTCAATCTAATTCTATCAAAGTATCTGCATTGCTTCATGAACTATATATATTTGAATAAGCCAAGGAACCACAAACAGATGCTGCCATTAATAGCAGGAGGTATTTTAGAAAGAAGCAGCCACATAAGGACTCTGTGAGCATCTGAATGAGTAAAATTAAGCAGGCTTTCTCAGCATAAAGCATCCTGCCATGCACAAACAATGCACTGGGAAACAGAAAAAGATATTGCTACTGATGCTGACACGACCTTTGTGCCCGCTTTTCAAAATCAAGATGAAAAAAAAATGCAGAAGATCCTCAAGACTTATTTGAGATCTGGAAAATGCATGGTATGTGGAGTGAGTTAAGTATCCAGCCCATTTAACTCACTAAGTTGAAAATGAATGAATCTATTTGCCATAGTCTATAGATGAGGACATGGAAATTATTTTGACAGCAAGGAGCACTTTAGCAGTCAAGATGTAACAGCTGGAAGCCACTGTTGCACTAATTCAAGTAAGAAAAAAGCAGCAGCAGTAGGTAGGTGTTTCTCAGGAGACTTTATACTTTATATTATTTAAATTCAAGATGTGAAACCCAGTGAAGCACTCTCAGCTGCTTACCACAACCAGGTGGCTAGAAAGCCATAGCTGTTAGCATGCCGTTTCTCTGTCAACTGCAACGGCTGGAAAAAGCCTGTCACTGCAGCTAATGACACACACACAGTGAGGCAGGATACATGCCTTTAGTGGAACATCTACAATGCAAAACAGTATGTGGCTGAAAGGAGGGTGTTCTGGAGTTGGACAAACACCCTGCAGCATCTCAGGTGGCCTTGGATGCCTGAGAGCAGGCAACTAAGCAGCACCCAGCATGTCCAGAGCAGCATTTTTGAGTCCTGGGACAGCCTGAACAGGAAAGACAAAGCAATACACATCTCTTGCGAACAGCCAGCACTTACACAGATTCTTCAGGATTTCATTTTTCCAGAACTGAATTTCTCCTGTAGGTGACTCGGTATTTTTTGATCCCACTCTAAACTACTACTGTGAGTGAAAAAAGGTACAGTCCTACAGCTCACTAAGCTCTAGGAAATGTGAACCAATGACCTTGGCTAGTGACAAGTGAAAGGAAAGTTGCTTGGTGCCATGCTATATCCTATGCTAGCATATTTTCAAATGACTCATAAAGTTCATCTTTAATTAAGCATCTTAACCACAGGAAGCCAGGAAATAAGTCTGGGCCCCTCAATGGAAAGTTAAAAACTTAAGAGAATGTGTAGGATGGAGAGGGCTAAGAAGAACACTGATGACACCTGGTAAGCCAGTGGCATGTCATACCACTGCCAAGCACAAGTAGCTAACAATAGCCTGAACAGGAAGGCAGTCACAGGTTTCTGTCTGCCTTTGATTTCAGATGCTCAGCTCAGCAGGGATTGTGCTGGGCATGGCTCTTCTTCTCCACCTGTTTCTGTGGTTCAATGCTTTCCATGTATTTAGACTCAGGCAAACGCAGTATGACACTCTCATGTGCTCATGCCCAACAC